TCAAGTGGTTGGGTCCCTGTCACCCAAGTGGGAAACCCATATTGAGTTCTTGGCTCCTGGATTTGGCATGACCAGCCCCAGGTAGAGCAGGCAATTGGGGAGTCAGCCAGCAGATAAGAATTCTCTGTCTGTTTCTCTGCCTTTCAAACTAAGTAAATAAAATAGTGATGATAACAAAAATCATCACCATCTCTATAATTAGCCTGTGCATCATGATTGCCAAGCTTATGTGAATATAGTTGTATGTATGGAAAACATGGGTTTTTGTACTCAGATGGGTATGGTTTCAAGTACAAGTTCTGTTATTTAATAATTATATGATACTGACCCATGAACTTCATCTTGTGTAGCCTATTTTCTCTTCTCTGAAACAGGAATTCTAACTCCTATGTTGCTGTGAGGATTAGAAGAATATATGTGATCTCCCTGGAGTTCCCTCTTTGCTTCTATTCCCTTTGCGTCAGGACTTAAATAGATTACTGTGTTGACTGGGCGTCATTTACAGAGAACAGAATCTACTCACGTTGTAGTCATAATTTGGAGGGCTGAGGAAGCATATTCAAGGCTGAGTGTTCAGAAATGAATCTCAAAGCCACACTTCAGAATCAGGACACCGAAGAAGCAGCTGCATATTCTATTATCAGGAAACCATTTGCTGAATTGGGAAGCTGCCACAACAGTTGTTGGCCATGAAGTCATTCCTCCACTGATCACTGGGGAAGCTATGGTGAGGAGAGAACTGTCTCCACAACTACCAGTCTGAACACCTGCTGTCATTTGCCTTGCCTCCTAACAGCAGAGCTGGTGCCTGAGCGCTGCTAATGCTCCTGCAGAGAAACCATATTCTTCAGTGACCATTTTTTAAAGCAGACACGTAGAAACAAAAAAAAAAGCAGGGCTACTACCTCATAATCTGATTTAAGGAACCTAAATCACATCCAGAGCCCTAGCTGCAAGGGAGTCTGGAAAACGTAGGGTTTTTTTTCCTCTTAACTTTAGCCTTTCTTATTAATTAATTAATTTCATTTGTTTGAGAAGCAGAGAGACAGATTTTTTTTCCCATCCACTAATTTGCCCCCCCCCCCCAATGCCTATAGTGGCTGGAACGAAGCCAAGATGCTGCTGGGAGTGGGAAATACAATCCAGGTCTCCCAGGAGGATGGCGGAGACCCAAGTACTTGAGCCATTATCTACTTTCTCCCGGGGTGCAAATTAGCAGGAAGCTGAAATCAGGAGCAGAGCCAAGACTCAAACTGAGGCACTTGGATATGGGATGAGGGTGTCCAATACTACTTCTTCACCAGTAGGCCAAATACGCATCCCTTATGAATCTTCCGTCCTCCCCATTATAAAAGCATGTACTTGGAAGAGATTAGGTTGGGTATTGAGTATTATACTTCCATTTGCACTGCTAGCCTTTTGTCAAAGTATTATTACTGGGGCGGCAATTGTGCTCCAGTGGATTAAGCTGCCGCATTAGGCACCCATGACCCATATTTGCTGCCTGGTTTGAGGCCTGACTACTCCACACTTTTGATCCAGCTTTCTTGCTGATGCTCCTGGGATGCAGCAAGGGATGGCCCAAATGCTTGTGTTCCTGCATCTACCTGGAGGGTCTAGATGAGGTTCCTATCCCCTGGCTGCGGCCTGGCCTAGCCTTGGATATTGTGGGCATTTGGGGAGTGAACCAGCAGATGGAAGATATCTCTCTGTCTCTTTATACTGCCTTTCAAACAGATACATAAATCTTTTTTAAAGCTATGTATTATTTTTATTATTTTAAATTATAAAAGTAATATGTTCTCTTTGTAGAAGAACAAAACAAAGCTGTAGAAAAGAGTAGACATCTTCCCTATACCATCAGAGCCCACAGTGCTCTCCAGAGAAAATCACTGAGAGCGATTTATTGCATATTTGTCTAATCTTTTGTCTGTGCATGTATATGAATGTATACATACACACACATACCTAATGCTTAAAAATGTGACAGTGTCATCCATTGCTGTCCTTGGAAATAGCCCTAGGTCGGGACATGAAGATCTAACAGGAATCAGGAAACTTTCTGTAAGCGGTCCCATAGTAAATATTTTAGGATCTCGGGGCCACATGTAGTCTCTGTGACATATTATGTTTTGCTATTTTATTTTGTACAACTATTTAAAAATGTAACAGTACTCTTAATTGTAGGCCTTTCAGAATGGGTCTGTGGGCCATAGATTGCTGACCTCAGATCTAACCTCATTCTTTCCAGTGTCTGGGTAGTGTTCCATGGTGTAGATGTATCACCACTTTATTTTGCCATCTTTGTTTCTGTACTCATTTAGATTCTTTACTTTTTTTCTTTAGCAAAAATCACAATGTTTTAGAAAAAATGACTAGCATATATATCTCAGTGCCTGTGTGTGAAAATTTTTGCACACACAGGAAGTATCATTCCTTGCTCAAAAAATACATTCAAACTGCAGTTTCACACTGTCTGTTTCCCCTCAAAGACAGCTTTTTCTGATTCCCCTGACACCAATAATACATGAGAAAACTTGTTTTCTGTTACAGTTGCCATTCCTTACTATATAATATTACTTCTTTTTTTATTTATTTTTCTTTTTTATTACTTCTTTTTTTAAAAGATTTATTTTTATTTATTTGAAAGGCAGAATTAGAGAGAGAGGGAGAGAAAGAGAGTTTCCATCTGCTCGTTCACTTCCCAGATGGCTGGAACAGCCAGGGCTGGACAGATCCAAAGCCAGGAGCCAGGAGCTTCTTCTAGGTCTCTCACGTGGGTATAGGGGCCCAAGGACTTGGGCCATCTTCTACTGTTTTCCCAGGAGCATTAACAGGGAGCTGGATTTGAAGTGGAACATCCTGGACTTGAACCAGCACCCATTTGAGAAGCTGGTGTTGCAGGCGGCAGCTTAACCCGCTAAGCCACAGTGCCAGCCCCCTAGTTCTTTTCTAATCTGTATGCTTTTTATGCTTTTTAATCCTTTTTTATTTTCCCCAATTGTTTCAGCTGGGACTCTAGCAGTACTATGTTGAATAGAAGTAGTGACATGGCATCCTTACTCTGTTACTGATCTCAAAGGAAAAGCATTCCGTCTTTCTCCACTGAGGATGGTTTTAGCTGTTGGCTTGTCAGATACAGCCCTTATTACATTGAAAGGAATTACATATGTGTCTAGTTTGTTGAGTTTTTTTTAAATCATGAAATGGTGTTGAATTCTGTTGAATACTTTTTCTTTTTTAATTAATTAATTTATTTGAAAGGCAGAGTGAAAAAGAGAGAGAGAGAAAGAGAGAGATTTTCGCCTGCACTTCCCCAAATGGCTGCAATAGCCAGGGCTGGGACCAGGGTCCATCCAGGTCTCCCATGTGGATGCAGGGTCCTAAGCACTTGGGTCACCATCTGCTGCCTTCCCAGGCACATTAGCACAAAGTTGGACTCAAACTGGCATCACAAGAGGAAGCTTATTCTGCTGTTCCACAATGCCAGCCCCTCAGATGCTTTTTCTGCATCTATTGAGACACTCATGTGGTTTTTTTTTTTTTTTTCCTTCATTTTGTTAATGTGGTGTGTCACAATCACTGATTTGGGGATATTGAACAATCCTGGCTTCCCACCTGGTCATGATCCTTTCAGTGTGTTATTGAAATGTGTGTGTTGGTGCTTTGTTGAGGATTTGTACATCTGTGTTCATCAGGGATATTGACCTGCAGTTTTCTTTTCTTGTAGTGTCTTTATTTATTTATTTATTTAGAATTATTTTATTTATTTGAAAGACAGAGTTACAGAGAGAGGTAAAGCCAGAGAGAGAGAGAGATCTTCCATTCCGCTGGTTCACTCTCCAAATGACCACAATAGCCAGAGCTGAGCTGATCCAAAGCCAGGAACCAGGAGCTTCTTCCAAGTCTCCCACATGGGTGCTGGAGCCCAAGGAGTTGGGCCATCTTCCACTGCCTTCCCAGGCCACAACAAAGAGCTGGATCAGAAGTAGAGCAGCTGGGACTCAAACTGGCACCCATATGGGATGCCGGCACTGCAGGTTGGGGCCTTAACCCACTGTGTCACAGTGCTGGAACCACAGCATCTTTATTTTTTTTTTTTTGTTTTCTATTTGCTCTAATTTTGACAGGCAGAGTGGACAGTGCGAGAGAGACAGAGAGAGAAAGGTCTTCCTTTTGCCGTTGGTTCACCCTCCAATGGCCGCCGCTGCAGCCGGCGCACCGCGCTGATCCTGGCAGGAGCCAGGAGCCAGGTGCTTTTCCTGGTCTCCCATGGGGTGCAGGGCCCAAGCACCTGGGCCATCCTCCACTGCACTCCCTGGCCATAGCAGAGAGCTGGCCTGGAAGAGGGGCAACCGGGACAGAATCCGGCGCCCCAACCGGGACTAGAACCCGGTGTGCCGGCGCCGCAAGGTGGAGGATTAGCCTATTGAGCCACGGCGCCGGCTCACAGCATCTTTATTTTTAAGATTTATTTATTTTATTTGAAAGGCAGAGTTACAGAGAGGCAGAAGCAGAGGAAAGGGGGAGGGCGGTCTTCCATCTGTGGTTCACTCCCCAAGTGGCTGCAGCGGCCGGAGCTTCACTGATCTGAGGGCAGAAGCCAGAAGCTTCTTCCATGTCTCCCACATGGGTGCAGGGGCCCAAGGACTTGGGCCATCTTATACTGCTTTACCAAGCCATACCAGAGAGCTGGATTGGGAGTGGAGCAGCCAGAACTTGAACCGGCACCCATGTGGGATGCCTGTACTGCAGGAGGCAGCTTTACCAGCTATGCCACAGTGCCGGCCCTGCAGTGTCTTTTCCTGACTTTGCTAGCAAGATGATGCTGCCCTCATATAACAAGTTCACACTATTCCTTTCTGTTCAGTTTTTTTTTTTTTTTAAGGGGGGTGGGTGGTGGGTGGTTGGGAATGGTTTGTGAAAGTTTGGTGTTAAATTTTTAAATAAGTGGTAAAAACCAGTTTTGAAGTAATCTGTCCTGGGTGTTTGTTTTTCAGGAGCTTTTCTGGTATCTGAATTAATCTACCTACTTGTTATTGGTACGTTCAGTGTTTTTGTTTCTTCGTGATTCAGCTGTGGTAGGTGTGTGTTTCCAGGAATTTAACAATTTCCCCTAGGCTATCCAATTTATTAGTGTATAATTGTTCACAGTAGTCCCTTACAATCCTTTATTCCTGTGCATCAGATGTAGTATGTGTTCTTTTGTTGTTTATTTTATTTACTTGAATTTCTTTTTTCTTAGTCGAATTCAGGATTTGTCAATTTTTTCATCTTTAAAAAATAATTTTGTCAACTTTTTTCCTGTTCTCTTTCATTTCTTTCTTTATTTTTTAAAAAATATTTATTTATTTGAGAGAGAGAGTTACAGTGAGAGGGAAAGGCAGAGAGAAAGGTCTTTCATCTGGTTGTTCACTCTCCAAATGGCTACAGCAGCTGAAGCTGGGCTGATCCGAAGCCAGGAGCAAGGAGCCTCTTCCAGGTCTCCCACTCGAGTACAGGGGCACAAGTGCTGGGGCCATCTTCTACTACTTTCCCAGGCCATAGCAGAGAGCTGGATCAGAAGAGGAGTAGCTGGGACTTGAACCAGCACCCATATGAGATGTCAGTGCCACAACGTCAGCACCTCATTTATTTTTGCTTTGATCTTTATTATTTTCTTCTTTTTGCTAACTTGGGGCTTCCTATAGTTCCTTGAGATATAAAGATAATTTATTTATGATTTTTTTTTTAGTGCAGATCTTTATCGCTGTAAACTCTCCTCTCATGCTGCTTTTGCTGTATCTCATACATATTGGTATATTCCTGAAAGATACTTAACTCTTAAATGTGTTAATACAATTTGTGACCTAGGATGTAAACTATTCTGGAAATTATTCCATGAATATCGTGAGTGAAATGTCCTGCTTATGTCTTTAGGTCCATTTGACCTACCTTGTTACTTATTTATGTATTCTACAACAGAATGAGTCCACTTGTATTTATTTACTTTTCAATTATTCAAATCCATGATGGGGACAGCGTTACATGGAGTCCATGTGCAGTGCTTTTCACAAGAAGGTTGCCTTGGAATTTGGCATGAACCATGCCACTGTTGCCAGGAGTATGAGAATCTATCCCCAGGTTACTCTGGTTTTGTTGGGTTGCCTTCAGGAGTCACTGTGTTGTTCTTTGCTTTGTAGATGTGAAGATATCTCTTGCCCAATGAGAACTCAGTTTCATCTCGGGAATAAACACCTTCAGTTTAGGAAGAGCCTTGTGTGCCCTTTGGTTCTGGAGGCCTTGCATCACACCCTTCCAGACAGACTTGCCTTTCAAAAATTCAGCATTGTGGTGCAGTGGGTTAAGCTGCTTCCTGTGATGCCTGCATCCCGTAAGAGTACTGGTTTGAGTCTTGACTCTTCCACTTCTGCTCCAGCTCTCTGCTAATGTGCTTGGGAAAGCAGCAGAAGGTTGTCCAAGTTTCCCTGCCACCCATATGGGAGTCCCTGATGGAGTCTAGGCTCCTGGCTTCAGCCTGGCCCATCCCCAGCTGTTGTGGCCATTTGGGGAATTAGCTAGTGGATGGAAGATCTCTTTCTCTGTCTCTCCCATTCTCTCTGCAACTCTGACTTTCAAAATACATTAAAAGTTCTTTTAAAAAATTCTTAAAAAAAAAATCAAGGGGTGACTGTTGGGAGTCAGTGGGTGAAGTATCCACTTGGGACGCCCATATTCCCATGATAGAGTGCCTGCTTCGAGTCCCAGCTACTCTGCTTCCAATCCAGATTCCTGTTAATGTACTTGCTGGGAGGCAGCAGGTCAGACTTCAGGTCCTTGAGTCCCTGTCACCCACATGGGAGACCCAGATGGAATTCTGAGCTCCTGTCTTTGGCCTGGCCTAGCCCTGCCTGTTGTGGTCATTTGGGAAGTTAATAAGCAGATGGAAAATCTTTCTCTCTCTCTCTCTGTGTGTCTCTCTCTGTCATTCTTTCAAATAAAACAAACAAACGTACATACAAACATTAAAAAAGAAAGGAAGGACTGACTGGCATTATAGAGCAGTGGATTAAGTCATTGCTACAACACTGCCATCTCATATGAGCTTCCTGTTCCAGCTGCTCCACTTTTGATCCAGCTCCCTACTAATGCACCTGGGAAGGCAGTGGAAGATTCCAAAGTACTTGCACCATGCACCCACGTTGAAGACCTGGAAGAAGCACCTGGCTTCAGCTTGGCCAAGCCCCTGCCATTGCAACCATTTGGGGAATGAACCAGCAGATGGAAGATCTCTCTCTCTCTCTCTGTGTCTCTCCTCCTCTCTCTGTAACTTTGCCTTTCAGATAAATAAATAAGTCTTTAAAAAAATAAAATTGAAAGGAAGAAAAAGGAAAATCAAGGCTTTCTTTGTAACTCCTCTACTTAGGAGCCCTGCCACAATTGCACCTGAAGGTCGTTCATGGCAATGTAGCCTCTTTCTTTTTAAAGATTTATTTTTTATTTATTTGAAAGGCTGAGTTACAGAGAGAAGAGGAGACACACACACACACACACACACACAGAGAGAGAGAGAGAGAGAGGAGAGAGATCTATCTGATGGTTCACTCTCCAAATGGCTGCAATGGCTGGGGCTGGGCCAATCCAAAGCCAGGAGCCCAGAGCTTCTTCCTGGTCTCCCGCATGGGTAGCAGAGGCCCAATCTCTTGGTCCATCTCCCACTGCTTTCCCAGGCACTTTAGCAGGGAGCTGCATTGGAAGTGGAACAGTCGGGATTCAAACAAGTGCCCATATGGGGTGCCGGCATTGCAAATGGCGGCTCAACCTGCTGTCACAGTGCTGGCCCCAATGTAAGCTGCTGTCACAGTGCTGGCCCCAGGGGTTCATCTCCAGCCTTCCATCCTCCTTCTACTACCTAGTTCCAAAGCTGCTTCCACACTTTTAGCTGTTTGTAGAGTATAACTCACCTCTGCTCAGCACCATTTCCTGTCTTGGCTCATTTAGACTGCTGTCACTGAAATCCCATGAACTGAATAGCTTATAAACGACAGAAACTTGGGACGGATGTTTGATGCAGTGGCCGATGCTGCTTCTGGCGTCCGCATAACATGTTAGAGTGCCTGGTTCGAATCCTGATTACTCTGCTTCCGAACCAGTTTCCTGTTAATGCTCACTCTGGGAGGTAGTGAATGTTGACTCAAGTACTTGATTCCCTGCTCCATGTGGGAGACCCAGGTTGAGTTTTGGGCTCCTGGTTTTGACCTGACCCAGCACTGTTTGTAGCAGGCATTTGGAGAGTGAACCAGCAGAAGGAAGACCTCTTTCTGTACATCTCTCTTGTCTCTCTGCCTTTCAAATAAGTGAAAATAAAAAAATAGAAATTTGCTTATCACCATTCCAGAAGCCGGGAAGACTCCAAATGCCAGCAGATTGAATGTCTGGTGGAGGTCGATTTTCAGACAGCTGTCTTTTCACCGTAATCTCATGTGGTAGTTGGGGCTGACAAATTCCCTTGGCCTTATTTATAAGGGCACTAACCCCAGTCGTGAGGACTCAACCCTCATGACCCAATTACCCCCAAAGGCTCCACCTCCTAACCATGGCACCTTGAGTTTAGGACTGCAAATGTGAATGTTGGAGGGACATGAGCATTCAATCCATTGCACCCACCGAGCTGCTGGAGATTCTGGAACCTCTACTTAGTTCTTTCTGTCCCCAAAGAGAGACCGGCAGCTGTGTTATTTGTCCACTTGGTCTCCGTTGACTCAGGTGAAGCACGGTCGCATCTGCCTTTCTCCTTCAGGTAACTAGATTGTGCCAGATCTGAGTCCTTCAAGACTGCTGAGACAGATGCTAGTTCTTTTGTGTGCCGCTAAAAAGTTGAGGCACTGAGCTCAGTGATCAACTTTTTCCCTTCCCACAGGGAAGCTACAAGCTTTGATTTTTCATCCACTCTTTCTACTGCATTGGGGTGAAGACCAACATGTTTATCAGCCCAAGGATGGTCTCCATCCCCTGAAGTGGCTAAACTATGATGCTTCTGTGAGAACTTAAAGATGAGCAAGACAGGTGACACTTTTCTGGACAGCCCTGGAGAAATAAGGTGATTGGGCACGTGAATCAACTTTCTCTCCCCCAGGAGTGTCATGGAACTTGGATTTTTTTTCTTTTTTCTTTTTTTCTTTTCTTTCTTCCTTCCTTTCTTTCTTTCTTTCTTTTTTTTTTTTTTTTTTGACAGGCAGAGTGGACAGTGAGAGAGAGGAGAGAGAAAGGTCTTCCTTTGCTGTTGGTTCACCCTCCAATGGCCGCCGCGGCCGGCACACCGTGCTGATCCGATGGCAGGATCCAGGTGCTTCTCCTGGTCTCCCATGGGGTGCAGGGCCCAAGCACTTGGGCCATCCTCCACTGCACTCCCTGGCCACAGCAGAGAGCTGGCCTGGAAGAGGAGCAACCAGGACAGAATCCAGCGCCCCGACCGGGACTAGAACCCGGGGTGCCGGCACCGCAAGGTGGAGGATTAGCCTATTGAGCCACGGCGCCAGCTGGAACTTGGATTTTTCATCCGCTAGCTCTGTGCTGTACAGGAGAAAGAATTGATCTCATCTATCAACCCCTTCTCCCTTGGGTGGCGGTAGCTAAACTGTGCCCAATAGTCAGAGTTCCAGGATGGCTAAGACAGAAGCTAGTCCTCTGGAGGGCACCATCATTAAAGCTGGGGTGCTAGACATGTGAACCAGTGGTTTTCCTATTCTGGGGAAGCTGGGAGAGAGGGGGCCTTTTCCTGGTTGTGTGATGGTGGGAAGGAACATGTTCTCTGGTGAGAGTATGCCCCAGTGTTCTCTACTGGCTTTGGTGAGTCTCAGGGTGGGATACAGGAGCCTTTTAATTACTTTCTAACTCATTGAATTTATCCATGAATTTTGCCACATCGGTGTGTTGAGGATGGGAGGGAGAGAAAAGGGGTTCTGGCCTGCCTTGTTGCTGACTTATGCTCTCAGTTACACAGTTTTGTTATGAGTATGGGAAGTTCTTAATTCTTTTTTAAAAAGATTTATTTATTTGATAGGCAGAGTTACAGACAGAGAGAGGAAGAGACAAAGAGAGAGATCTTCCATCTTCTGGTTTACTCCCCAAGTGACTGCAAGCAGGCTGGAGCTGGGTCAATCCAAAGCCAAGAGCCAGGAGCTTCCTTCAGGTCTCTCATGCGAGTGGAGGGGCCTAAGCACTTAGGCCATCTTTTGCTGCTTTCCCAGGTCAGTGAGAGGGAGCTGGATCAGAAATGGATCAGCAGGAACTCAAACCAGTGCCCATGAGGGATGCCAGTGTCTTAACCTACTACACCACAGCACCAGCCCCAAGTTCTTAATTCTTTTTTTTTTTAAGTTAAAGAGTTTATTGGGGGGGAACCCGACAGACTGGAGGGAAGGGACGAAGAAGAAAAGACAGAGAAGGAGAGAGTAAGAGAGAGACAGGGACAGAGCGTTCAGGAGATGGAGAGAAAAAGAGAGAGCGAGCCATGTGTTCAGGAACAGGTCCTTTTAAACAAGTTCTTAATTCTTTTCCAGCCTCCTTCTTTTTTTTATTTATATTTTATTTAATTTAATGAACATAAATTTCCAAAGTACAGCTTATGGATTACAATAGCTTCCCCCCCATAACTTCCCTCCCACCCACAACACTCCCCTCTCCCATTCCCTCTTCCCTTCCATTCACATCAAGATTAATTTTCAATTATCTTTATATACAGAAGATCAATTTAGTATATATTAAGTAAAGATTTCAACAGTTTGCACCCACACAGAAACACAAAGTGTAAAATACTATTTGAGTACTAGTTATAGCATTAATAAAACACCTAAGAGTAATTGTGTATTAATTACAGAGTTCAACCAATAGTTTTAAGTAGAACATAAAAAATACTAAAAGGGTAAAGTATTAAGTTCTTTTTTTTTCTGTTTCCTTTTTTTGTTTGTTATATAGTTATTTTTTTTTTAATTTAATAAATGTGAATTTACAAAGTGCAGCTTTTGTATTGTTGTGGCTTCCCCCCCACCAACCTCCCTCCCTCCCATGGCCCTCCCCTCTCCCACTCCCTCTCCCATCCTGCCCTTCATCGAGTTTCATTTTCAATTACCTTCATATACTGAAGTATATGAAGTATATACTAAGCAAGGATTTCAACAGACTCCAGCCTCCTTCTTTTTTAAAACATAAATGTGTAAAGTTGAGGTGGGATATTGAGACCTCATTAGGTTGTAGCGGCAAGTTTTAAATGAGACAGCATATGTATTTCCTGTGAGTCTTCCTGGCCCCTGTTCCCAGTGGTGCCAAAGCCCAGATCCATTTCATCGTGTCACCAGGGATGCTTACACTCACTTAGCCACCGAACAGACTCAAGTGTGACCTGAGCCATTTTCTCCTTCTCCTGCTCTGGGCTATCTTCTGTGCGCCTCTGACCTCCCTCCAGCAATGACTTCCTCGTCTTTCTTCATGTTCTCAGACATACATAGGCTGTGCTCCAGCACCGCTGCTGTTCTCCACCAGGGCCAGAACCTTCCAGTAAGCCACAAACAGCTCCTCATAAGGTCAGAGAAGTGCTCTGGTCTGTGGTGACTTGGTTGTGTTTGGGGTGGGTAATGATAGGCTGTCTCTCACATGCCTGTTAGAGGTACGATGGGAAAGTAGGGCTGCACAGTTGCCAAATCTGACAGCATTTATAGAAAGCCTTACACTCTACTGCTTGGAACCAACTTCCTCTGGTTCTTTGACTCAGAAAACTTAAGACTGTAATTGGACTAATCTTATCCCTACTCCTTTTTCCCTTAGGATCAGTTTTCTCCCAGGAGGCTGCTTGTTGAACTTAACTAAACAAACAGACTTCTTGAAAGAATCGCTGCATGGTTTTCCAGACATGCATAGACATGGATGAATCTGAGCAGAAGCAGACAGAGGAGGCTAAAAAGGAGGGTTCTAGTCTGTAAGTAAAGCATCCAGCTTCACATTTGGTAGCTACCCCTAGCTCTGAGTTTGAAGCCACTCATCTTTAATGGAGGAGGTGCACCAAGAAAGGCAGTCTTGAAGTCATTTATGTCTGGTGCTGGACTGCTACTCATTCTCTTTCTTCTCTGTGACCCTGGGCAACTTCCTTAACTCCTAAGCTCCAACTGACTCAATTTACTTCAATTAAAATAGTACTAACAACTGCCCCTTCATGATTTGTGGTGAGGATTACTAAATAATATATGAAAATTGTCCCACGAATACTAGGTTTGCTTTTGTTTCTTTTCTGTTAATCTCTTGTGACTTATTAAGCCTGGGGATTATTTCATTATATTTCTATCATTCTTCCTTCCATGTTGTCTTTTTCTGTGTCTTTTTCTTCTTCTTTCCTATCTTTCTGCCCTATCTTTTTAAAACAGTAGACAAATATCCTGAGAACACTGATAAGCTTTTTAGTGGAAATAATGTATTAGGCTTTCTGTACAAGTAACTTTTTAAGTTTCTTAAGAAATTAAACATTTTGGGCCAGGCTGTGGTGCACTGAGTTAAAGCCACAGCTGCTTTACTTCCAATCCAGCTCCCTGCTAATGCACCTGGAAAAGCAGTGGAGGATGACCCACTGTGCTTGTGCCCCTGTGCCCACATGGGAGACCTGGAGGAAGCTCCTGGCTCCTGGCTTCAAATCAGCCCAGCTCCCACCTTTGCAGCCATTTGGAGGGTGACCCAGCAGAAGGAAGACCTCTCTCTCTTTCTCCTTCTCTAATTATATATGTATATGAATATATAAATTAAACATTGTTCAAACATTATTTAAAAATTTTTATGTTAAAAATTACCCAAATCTTAAAAAAATTTTCACATTTTATGTTACATACCAGAAACCGACAGCAAGCACTTATTTCTCTAAAGAAAGTTACAAATCCTGTAACTTTTTTTCTTTTTTAAAAATTAATCCACTACCCAAACGCAATTCAACGATTTTAGGTGGTGCTGGGAGTGTTGTGAAGGCTGAACGATAACTTGATGTAAAATGAACTCACATAAACCGCTGATGTGATGTTAACTGAATGACCTTTTCCTAACTTATCTTAAAAGGCAGGACTCTGGAGATAGTGTAAGTACCCCCAGTCACAGGCAGGAAATAGATGACTTTCCAGTTGGGGACATGGCCAATCATCTCATAAATATTTCCTTGTCATCCTTCTTACACAATACACCTGGCAAATTGTTGGGAACATGAGTTCACAAAATCAGCAGGCCAACAAAAATATGTTGGGCCTATTTTCGAATAATTTCTGCCTGAAACAAGGCAAAACAGTTCAGGATGGAAATAAAGATGACGAAGATGACTTCAGTGTACTTTTGATTTTCAAAAATAGTAATTTGACCATAGCTATTGAATGAAATATTTCCAATGAATGAACCTTGGAGTAGTCAATAGCATATTTGTAGATGGCTGTTTTAGAATCACAGAAGGCACCTCTGGTCTCGGTTTATAAATAAGGTGTAATACTTTCATTGAGCAAACACAGTGGGCAATAAACCAGTCAATGGGGCCACCCCAACGAATCTGAGTTAAAACTCTAAATACTACCCCATTTGTACCCACTATCGAGACATTTTCAGATTGCAACAAAAGACCTTACATTTTTCACTGTGCTTTTCTCAGCAACACTGCTGATTACTCTGCTCCTGGGAATCCACTTCTAACTCAGATCTTCAATAGAGGCTTTTGCTTACATTTTCAAAATCTATATAATCCCAGGGTTACCAATCTACACAGTGCCGCATTTTGAAATTTAACAAGCCAGATAATACAGCAGTGATCAAAGCCAGGCCCACTGAACCAGGATGAGGAAATTCCCAAGTGGATTTTCTTTTTTTGGAGTTTTAACATTCCATTCAACCCACAGTGGGCTGTGTAGAAATCCTTGGAACATCCAGAACTAGGGGCCTTGTTGGTATCACTGGCAAAAAGGCAACCCTTAGCTGCCATTGTGCTGCAGTGGGTTAAATTGCTATTTTCAATACTGGCATCTCATATCAGAATTCTGGTTCAAGTCTCAGCTGCACTACTTCGTATCCAGTTTCCTGCTGATGTATCTGGAAAGGCAACAGATGATGGCCCAAGTGGCTGAACCCCTACCACTCATGTGGGAGACTCAGATGGAGTTCTTGCCTCTTTGTTTCAGCCTGGCTGAGACCTGGCTTTGGAATCCTTTCAGGGAGTGAATGAGCAGATGGAAGATCTCTTTCTGTCTCTCTCTCCTTCCCTCCCTCCCTCTATTCCTGTTACTCTGCCTTTCAAATAAATAAATCTTAGAAAAAATTTTTTAAAGGCAATCCCTAGATGACAAAGTTCCAAACAAAGCAAAACAAAGCCATTTATTTCATAAAGTTTAGTACAAAAATAATTCAATAAGGAGAAGTGATAGTCTTCTCTCAGGCATCATGTAGAACCAAGGGGATTCTCACACATGTTTAAAATGGCATCCAAGGTTACTATCTGAAGTGCTAATTTTGCATTCCTTTTATACAAAGACAGAAAAGTTTTTAACTACTCAACCAGTCATCTAGTATAATAACTGAATGGGCTGTGTATAGTTCCTCCATTCAAATGCTTTCCATAATCGAGTACAGTAGAGACAACTGTCCAACAAAAGTGTTCCCTTTAAACACATATAATATAATCATTACAAAAGTGCTTGAGGAACACTTGGGGATGGGTCAGGCTTTAGGATTAACACGGAATTAATACTAAACAGGCAGGACTTCATGGAGAAGGATTTTCAAAGGAGCTATACAGTCTGACAGCTTGGAAGGTAGACTCCAAGCCAAGTCTAATATACTTGTGCCTGGTTGAATTTTCATTACGACCCAATAGTCTCTAATGGCATGCAAAATAATAAAATTCAAAATTAAATCAGTTAATCATTGACCCTAGAAGAAAATATTTTTAGATAAGACATCTTTCATTTTACAAGTTGCTATCATTTGATCAGCAGAAAGACAGACAAGGAAAGAGCGCGCCCTTCCACTGTTCAACTCCCAAAATGCCCACGACAGCTGGGGAGCTGAGGCCAGGAGCCAGGAACTCAATCTGGCAGGAATGAAATTCCTTGAGCCGTCACGTTGCCTCCCTGGGTCTGCATGGGTAGGAAGCTGCAAGTCAAGAGCTCGAGCTGAATATTGAACCCAGGCGTTCTGATGTTGGATGTGTAGGCATTTTAATCAATAGGCTAAATACCTACTCCATATGTCTCATTTTTCATAAAACTTCCTGTTAATCAATTTAGAGTGGTGAACCTCTGTTGGAGAAGTAAAACTCTGGTACTGGAGACTTCTGCTTAATTATTTAACAGTTGACAGCTTTTTACTTATTAGTTTGAACCATATCAAAGTACTGTTAATAGACTTTGATGTTTCTAACTTAAGAAAATGGCAATTTCTGATATATCAACATAAAAAAGGATTAATAGCTTAATTTTAAAAATTAGATTTATTTATATATGCAGTTATTTTCTTATATAAATTTCTCTTCTATTTGTGTACCTTATTTCTACACATTGTGTAGTTTAACACATTAAAACCATACTAAACATTATTTTGATGATTGAGAAAGCATTTCCTACTTCCTTCACTAAACATTTATTGAACTTCACCTATTAGTTTCAGCATCTTCCCCAGCTGGAGGTATAGGGATGAGTAAAAGTAGTCCTGTCTGTGACAGTTTGGTGGGGAAGAACACCTTACAGATCATTACTACAGAGACAGTGTGTGCAGGGTTAAGATGGAAGGCCCTGAAGGCAGAGGGACCAGGAGCCTAGTCTGGGCTTTACCACTTATGCTAATTGCCCAGCTTCTCTCAGTCTTGCTGAAGTCATCAAGCAGCACATCGCTGGCGTGTTGGGAGAGTCAGACGTGAAAGTGCCTGTGACTCGGCTGAGCACTGCCTGCCTTTAGCAAGCACTCAGGAAACGGTAGGCATCACCGTATGTGCAAATACTCTGTGACAGGTGTGGCTGGTATTTGCTTCCTTTGCAATGTCTTCATGATAAGCAACCCATGACTGGTCAACCTTAACGGTTTATGGTGACCGTGTTTGCTCTTGATAAATTTGGAGGAAAATCTCATCTTTTTACCCTGGAGTTGGAACTTGTTGTCAGTTAAGGGTCCCAATCTCATGAAATGGCTGAACACCTTAACCAGATCCCCCAGGCCTGGGGCCAGCTTTCCTGGGTACTCATCCTTCTTCTAACAGATCTGGTAAGGAAGAAGAACTGAAAACAGGGGCTAATGAGTTTGCTGATAACTAAGGACTCCAGTTCCCTTCTCAGATTCATCTTTGCCTTCTCAGACAAAAACACATGCTTGCTACTGTCAAGAAGGCCGTGGCGTGAATGCCTTTTGTCAAAACCCACTGAGTCAGTAGACCTTCCTGAGCTCCGCCCTTTGCCAGGTGCTGTGCTAGGCTCTGGGGGTATGAAGGTCAGCACAGCAACAGCCTGGTGGGGGCAGAGACTCCTCAGATAAGCATGCAGATGCTCGATTACACCTAAGAGCTCTCTGAGTGAAGAGCAGAGCGCAGGGACCCTGATACAGACTGGAGCATAGGTCTGTGGGGGTCAGGGAAGAGTCACTTAGGGAAGTACCGTCGAAAACACCTTTCACCCTGCAGAGGAGCTGGTGGTTTTCTGACTACTCCCAAACCGCCCACAGCTCAGGAAATCGAAGTTTAGTCAAATCAATTGTTTGATTACATTACGAAAAAATCTAAGTTGATATGAATTATTCTATCACTGAATTGTACACATAACATTAAACATGACATTGTTCATGTTGTCTCACAAATACTTTTTTTAAAAAAAATTATTTATTTGTGTATTTGAGAGAGAGAGAGAGAGGTCTTCCATCACTGGTTCACTCTCCAAAATTGAGGTTGAAGTCAGGAGCCAGGAATTCCATCCGGATCTCCCAAATGGTGCAGGGACTCAAATACTTGAGCCATTATCTGCTACTTCTCCAGAAACATTAGCAGGGAGCTGAATTGGTAACAATAGTTGGGACTGGAACTAGTACTCTGATACAGGATGCTGGCATAACAAGCAGTGGCTTAACCCTCTGCACCACAATGCTTACCAAGATTTTCATTTCATTGACTATCAAAATAAACTCCTTCACCTCCAGATTGATTTTATCCTTAATAACACACACACATACACACACAAATACAGTTATTTATAAGCACTGCCCAGAATTAGGAAAAATTTATAAGACGATAGCATGACCCTAGATAAGTTCTTTGTTCCTTGCCTGGGAGGACTGCTTTGCTGTCAAACCATATTTCATGTATAAATAAGGCATTTCTCGGTGGTCTGCCTTTTATTTTGTGGAGGTTGACTGGGGAAGGGTGAATTTCAGCACACATTTAAAAGTGCTTATCTGGTAGAGAGACTTACAATCTCTGAAATACTGTGTAAAATGTTATTTTCAGATTTCCTCTGAAATGTATTAATATATTTCAAGCATAAGGAGGAAAAGCATGATTTTAGAGGTTATCTAGCCATTTAATCTTTTTATTAGTGCATTCACTCTCATTTGTTTCAGCCTTAAGTAAATAAAAGGTTGATATTAAAAAAAGACTCTTGTAGCTATTACATATGAAATCTACTCAAATTGATTGGGTGCTCTTCAGTGATTTCCTACAGTGTGATCATTTCTTCCTTTTTACATTTTCCTCCCGCAATCACCAGTAAGTAATGTATTCATCAAATGTAAGAGAGTGCCCGCACAGAATGTCTCCCTTGCGGGGGCGGACAGTTGATCAGTTCCCTCGCTAGCTGGACTCGAGCACGGCAGTCAGTGAGGTCTTAGCAAGCAGCTTGGCTGTGTTGTCCTGCTAATCATCACCAGAAATGAACTCATCTATGGAACCGTTAGATGCAAAAGTAAACAAACTCCTTTAGCAGAACATTGTCACAATATCAGAGTGCTGCTTGGACAAGGAAAGGATGAGTGTCATTTAGCTTTGCTGTTACTGCAGGAAGCCATTTTCTTTTTGCTCAAAGTGGTACCTTTCAGCTGATGTTTTCCCTTGGGCTTAAATATTGATATAAAATGTTAGCAAAACTAACTACAAATAATGTTATCAAATAAGCTCTCTGATTGGTCCTTTAATTATCTGGAAGCCCAAGGGTTTTCTGCTTTTTAATGAAGTCATATGTTAGTCGTGAATTATTTGATTTTTGTGTATTATTTCATACTACACCCTACATCCTAAAATGAAAGGTCATAGTAGCCCCCATATCCTCTCTAAAGTTTTCTTTCAATTCCATTTTCCATGAAATTTTGGAAGTACCCACATAGAAGGAAAACAGAACATAGAAGCCTGGAGACAGGGAAGAAAATGTAATTTATAATGGATGTGTCATACACCAAATGGATGATGGGAGAAAGCAAATGGTTTCCTTCTTTTCTCTGATACTTAATTCTGCCTCCATATTGGGAAGTTTTTTCCTCACTTCAGGAATTGTACAACCTGTATGGACTTCTGCATCCAACCCTGTCTGCTGGAAATTGCACAGAACCCCACTGGTGAGCAGCTGGACTAGACCCTCCCTTAGCGGCCCAACTTCAGAGGTCAATCGCAGCTCCAGGTGACCTGTACTTCTGACCTACTATGTATAAAGCAGAGGTTCCCACACCCGCCCCTCACATTCAGTTCGCTCGGAGAACTCAGGAAAACAGTTCTGCTACTAGATTACTCCTTAAAGGACAACACTCAGGCTAGGGCTTCTATGGTCTGTGGGCGGGCTGTGGGTCTGCATGCGATTTGGTAGAGGGCGCTCTGCACATCTTGGAACCTTGTAATCCCTTATTTGGCACTCTGTTGCAGACCTGTAGAAGGCTGAACTAGAGGCGACTTGGACTCTAGGGTACCACACGCTCTGTCTTGGAGCCCTTGGAGGTACCGCGTGATCTCGCCTTCCTCTTGGGACTGGGTGCTGGATTGCGCGAGACATTTGACGCTGTAATGCAGGCGGCACTGCGCCCTGCTTGGATGCGCCGCGCCCCCCAAGAGCAGTCAATGTGTTCCCGCCGGCTTGGGTCCCAGAAGCAGCGGTACAAGAAGGCACCGCAAGGTTTGGTGCATATTCGGTTGTGGACTTGGCAGTGCACGAAGAGGGCTGTGGTTTGATCCATACTCGGTGCCATACTCTGTACACCGTCTCAGGCACAGTCTAGGAAGCACTTCTTGGGCCACCTACAGGGTTTGGTTCTCTTCCCCAGCATCTTCATGCTGTTGCAGAACAACACCCCAAACTAGTTGGAGGTGTTACTACAGAATTCCCAAACCCGGGTCCACCCACCCTATGCGCAGAAAGGCCATCACTGACAAGCCGGGTGAGAAAAAGCAGGTATTTAATTGCAAAGCCCGGAGCAAGCAGCCCTGTAGCTATTGCCTAATTTCTGGAGCTCACCAAGGAGTTAGGAGTGAAGGTTCTTACAGATTTATTTGGGGCTGAGAGGTGTGTGATCAGCTCATGTTCAGCTTCCCAGTGCCCGGGACCTTCTTTTCCTTGGTCTGCGCCCTTGCTGTGTAGGGAATTTATGATAGGTGGGCTTCAGTTGGTCTGGATGATTGGGATCAAATGAAAGTGGTAGTTAGTTACCTTCTAAACTCAGACGTGGAATTCCCCTAAACAAATCCCTCTGGACAGCATTGGCTGTCAGGGTTTTATCTATTGGAGGAAGAAATGATTTTTTGTTTGATGATTAGAATCTTGTTGGGCCAGCTGTATCTTCCCTCAGTTCAGTGAATTCCTTTCGATAAAAAACAGGCAAGGACACTTTTGGACTCGGGGAGACAGACACAAGGCTGGACCTGCCTTTGTTTTAGTTGAAAATCAAAGTTACAGACACACAGAGAGAGAGAGAGAGAGAGAGAGAGAGAGCGTTTGCATCTGCCTGTAATGGCCAGAGCTGGGTCGAGCCAGGAGCTTCATCTGGGTTTTCCAGGACACGGGATGGCAGGGACCCAAACACTTCTGCTTTCACAAGCCATTAACTGGGAGCTGGGTCGGAAGTGGAGCAACTGGGACTATAATCTGCACTCAGATACGATGTCCAAGTCACAGGTGCGGCTTTACTCACTTCAGCACCGGTGCTGTACCCGCCCGTCTTTTTGTTTGAGAATTTTTGCAGTATCCTATGTCCCAATCTCTCATCTTAGAACTGTTTGCAGTAGGATGTACCTTTGGGGTAGCCTGGGCCACGGTGTCTCGTGCGGGAACCATTTGCAGTACCAAATGCACCAGTCTGCTCCTCTTGGAATTTTTGTGGTTCCCTCTGCCCAAGTAAACTCATTTTGGGACTCTTTGCAGTGCCAAAATGCCCAGTTTTCTTACCTTGAAATTTTAGGGTACTGTGGGCTCCAGGCGGCTCATCTTGGAACCTCCCAGAATTGCTTGCGCCCCGAATGGCCACCACCCTGTCCTGTGCAGTGCCACAAGCTCTGCTGCTCGAACGGAGACCTGCACACCACATCTATTCCAGCACCATGCCGCGTGCTCCGCAGAAAGCAGTGCCACTCACCAAGGACTCAGCTCTTCCAGCTCCCTGGTTTAGGTTGGGAAAGTATGGCAGTCGCCGACAAAGAAACAACGCACGCGAACCGTAGCGATTGAGCAGCAAGCGCGCCCACAGGGCGAAGCGCTCTTCGGCTGGGGTCGTTGTCTGTCAGTGGGTAACTAAACTGTGCCGGTTGTTCTAACAACGTACCCCAGACTTGTTTTGAGCAAGTGCAGTAAGATGCAGACAGGAGCGTGACCGCCAAGAAGGAAGCTTTTTTATATTAGACACCAGAGGCACAGCGCCACACAGGGCCACAGCAGGGAAGTGCCCAGTGCCATGAGCAACCAGAGAGCAGACTTGCGGGCGGGAGTCTTACGGTGGTTCTGAATAAAATAACGTAAAGAAGCGGTACAAATCTAGGATTGCTCTCCACCTTTTTTTTTTCCAGAATTTTTTTTTTTTGTAAAAAACGTAACCATTTTAAATAGTGCGAAGTGTAATCATTCGCCTTGTTGTACAACTTATCCATTAAACATTTTTATCCTTCAGATATGAAGCTTTAGGAACATGTATGATTTCAGAAATATCTGCACCAAACTAAAGGCATCTTTTACTTCCTTTTGTCCACACAATTTTTGAAGTGTCTTTGTATAACTAGTAAACAGTAATGGTTTCTCGCGCTTCTTATAGCCTTTGGTAAACCTGTTGTCTGCTGTTTCTAAGATTTGGAATACTTCAGATCCTTAAAAGGAGTAAGAGCAGGCAGTTTTGTGCTTGCTTGCTTGCTTTTCTTTTTCTTTTTTTTTTTTTTCTTTTTGAGGTGCTTTCAGATTGTTTCCCATAAAGGCTGCACCACTGTGCTTGCTCACTAGGAGTACCCGAATCCAACCTCTCCACGTTCTCACCAGTGCCTGTTGTCTTCTTTTATGGCGGAGATTTTATTGGTTGTGCTAAGGATCAATAAACACACTTCCATTTGTCCACAATTTTTAGCAGATATTTTATTTATTAATTTGATACACAGAGAGAAAGAGAGTGCTCCCATCTGTTGGTTTACTTCCAGGTGTCCGCAGTGAGGAGGGAGGAAGGAGCAAAGCCAGGAGCCCGGTTGCCCACCGCCACCCTCCTAGGGTTGCAGGGACTCTTCACCTGCCGCCTCTCAGCTGGAATCAGAAGCAGAGGCCAGGATTTGGATGCAGGCACTGAGATACAGGCTGCACACAACTGGTGTCTTAACTACTAAGCCAAATACCTACCCCTGCCCACAATTCTTTTTTTCTTTTTTAAAGATGTATTTATTTGAAAGGCAGAGTTACAGAGAGGCAGAGGCAGAGGGAATAAGAGAGAGAGAGAGAGAGACTGTAACAGCTGGGGCTGGGCTGATCCAAAGCCAGGAGCCAGGAGCCTCCTCCAGGTCTCCCACGTAGGTGCAGGGGCCCAAGGATTTGGGCCATCTTCTATTGCTTTCCCAGGCCATAGCAGAGAGCTGGATCGGAAGAGGAGCAGCCAGGACGCGAACTGGCGCTTATATGGGATGCCGGCACTGCATGCTGCGGCTTTACCCACTACACCACAGTGCTGGCCTCATGTCCACAATTTTTTTTTTTTTTTTGACAGGCAGAGTGGACAGTGAGAGAGAGAGACAGAGAGAAAGGTCTTCCTTTTGCCGTTGGTTCACCCTCCAATGGCCGCCACGGCCGGCGCGCTGCAGCCAGCGCACCGCGCTGATCCGAAGGCAGGAGCCAGGTGCTTCTCCTAGTCTCCCATGGGGTGCAGGGCCCAAGCACTTGGGCCATCCTCCACTGCCTTCCTGGGCCACAGCAGAGAACTGGCCTGGAAGAGCAGCAACTGGGACAGAATCTGGCACCCCGACGGGGACTAGAATCCGGTGTGTCGGCGCCGCAGGCGGAGGATTAGCCTAGTGAGCCGCGGCGCCGGCCCACAATTCTTAACACACTGTTCTGAACATCTGAGAGAGAATATCTTCCATCTGCTGGTTCATTCCCCACATTCCAAGGGCTGGACCAGGTAGAAGCCAAGAGCCCAGAACTAAATCCAGATCTGCCACGTTGGTGGCCAGGACCCCACCACTTGAGCCATCTTACGTTGCATCCTGAAATGACAATTATCACAATCAGACTTGAACCAGCATTCTGATACAGATTGCAGGTGTCCCAAGTAGTAGTTTAACCCCCTACCCCGGTGCTACAACTTCCACACCTGTGACTGTTTTTTCTTTTCTTTCTTTTCTCCTTTTTCCCTTCCCTTCCTCTACCCTCCTCTCCACCTCCCTCCCTTCTTCCTTCCTTCCTTGTCTGGGGCAGGCTGACACCAGGAGCCGGGAACTCCATCAGGGCTCCCTATCAGGGACCCAAGCACTTCGGCTATCTCCTGGCCGCTTTCCCAGTTCTGTTAGTGGGGAGCTGGATCGGAGGCACTCGGGTATGGGATGCCATCATCGAAAGTGGCAGCTTAACTTGCAGCACCACAATGACAGCCCCTGGGATTGTTTTCTAAACAGTCATTTCTGTGATTTTCTAGCTTAAAATTTGGAGAGAATTTTTTTCTTAAGAGGATATCAAACAGCAGCCTCTTCAAATATTGAAATGCTATTAATTCGCAATTTAATATTTTATACACTACATGTTCAAATGTTCAATCTTTCACAGCACGTAAAGTTATTAGGGAAGCTGGACTACCGTGACCAGAACTATTCCGGCGTGTATACAGTTCTGACAGAGAGAGCCAAGATCAAGGAGTGGTTTTCTTTAGGAAACAATTCGACTGGAAAACAGTATGGGAATAGAAGTAATTTAAAGTGTTCAAGACCTACTATTTGGAGGACTGTGACTCCGAATTGCCATTTAGCATGCTTTTGTTTTGTAAATATAAATTCTAATTTGGTCACCCGCTGGACCACCTTTTCTTCCTTGTTTGGTTTGCTTTAGGGTTTTCGCTTCTTGAAGCTGCGCTTCTTATCTGTCTCTGATCTGTAAGGGACTATCGGAGGGGAGCAGACTGGCACAGCCCTCAACTGTAAGATGATTAGTCCCTCCTTCTTAAAGAAGAATCTTCAATTTTTTTTTTCATTTTGTTTGAAAGGCAGAGAGAGAGAGAGAGAGAGAGAGAGATCGAGATCGAGATCTGTCAACTTAATCATTCCTGAAATACCAGCAACAGCCAAGGGCTGGGGCCAGACTGAAGCCAGGAGCCCGCAACTCTGTCTAGGTCTCCCATGTGCATGGTAAGGAGCCAACCACTTGAGCCCCCAGGATGTGCTTTTGCAGGGAGATGATTCAGAGGAATAGAAGCCAGGACTCTGAACCAGATTCTACAATGCGGGATGCAGACATTGCAAACAGCAGCTTAACGACGGTGCCCAGTGCTTCCTTCCCAAGTAAAATCTTGAGAACGGCTTGTATTTAGGAGACCAAACAAATTTTTCTCCTGCTCTCTTTTGATGTTTATCTGCTGAGCTCCTGGTAATATCAAGTAGCAAACTCTACTTTTGTTTCCCCATGGCCATGTTGGTAGTCTGCTTCTTCTCTAAAGTGTCCTCATTGGAGTTGGGGCGGGGACGGGGTGGGGACTAAAGCGACAGAATCCCAGGAAGGTCCCAGTGTAGAGACCTCGGGCTTTGGCCCTCTTTCCCCTTTGCTGGTGCCTTTGGATTCCTGGTGTAAGATTATTCCTTCTCCAGGTTAGGGCACGTAGTGCTGGAGTAGCTCACCGCTCCAAGGACCCGGGGAACATCTCCCTGTTCCCTAATATTCCTGTCTTCTAATCCAGACTGGTTGGTTCTCCTTAAAGTGAGGTGGGGAGTTCCCTCTGTGTATTTTTTTTTTAATGATTTGTTTTTATTTCTTTGAAAGAGAGAGTGACAAGGAGGGGAAGAGAGAGAGAATCTCCCATCTGCTGGCTTATTCCCCAAATGGCTGCAGCGGTCCGTCCTGATCTCTCATATGGGTGTCAGGGACCCAAGTACTTGGGCCATCACCAGCTGCTTCATTAACAGGGAGCCGAATTGTAAGTGGCATAGCCAGAACTGTGAACTCCAGTGTGGGTTGCAGGTGCCCTAAATGGCAATTTAACCCTCTGTACCACAGTGTCAGCCTCCACAGAATGCTTTTTATTCTGAACCGATGCCTAAGTATCCAACCTATGACCAGAGATCGTTCTCATAGGAAACTTGTTTATACAGACGTTCCTGGATTTTTTTTTATGGTGTTGCATCGCAGTAAGCTCATTGCAAGTTGAAAATTCAGTAAGTGGAAAATCCATTTAATATACCTAGGCTAGCGAACAGCAGAGCTTAGCAGCCTGGTGCACTGCAGGGTATTATTTGCTTCCCCTCGTGATCTCGGGGCTGACTGGGAGCTGGGCTCACTGCGGCTTCTCAGCTGCGAGACAAGTATCGTGCTGTTGCATAGTGCTAGCCTGCGAAAAGAGCATAATTGAAGCACGGGTGCTACGAATGCGTATGGCTTTCCTACCATCACGAAATGGAAAAATGATTAAGTGGAACCATTTTCTGTGTGGGACTGTCTGTACTGGCAGATGTCTTTGTGGCTCTTTTTTGACTTATGTCCAGTGTATTCCTACAGAGACAGATACTTTCTAGGAAAAACTGGACCCAGAGAGTTTGGGTCGCAGTTGCTGTCTTTGCGGCACAGCGAATCCCATAATGCAGCAGATGCAGTGCGTTAATAATGACAGGTCCGAGAGGGCAGAGGGCAGAGGGCAGCCTGTCTCTCAGAGCCAAGGAGCAGGGGGATGCATCTTGGATATACACCCTCAACCAGCAAGTAGGGGGAGAGAGAGAGAGAGTGGGAGAGAGAGAGAGAGTGCAGCGCGCGCATGCGAGGGTGTGAGCTCAGACTTAGTTTCTTTCTCTTCAGCTCTAGCAGAACCTGAGTCTCCTCATTTTTTTTTTTTTTTTTCAGGCAGAGTGGACAGTGATAGAGAGAGACAGAGAGAAAGATCTTCCTTTTCTGTTGGTTCACCCCGCCAATGGCCACTGCGGCCAGCGCGCTGCGGCCGGCGCCCGCGCTGATCTGAAGCCAGGAGCCAGGTGCCTCTCCTGGTCTCCGATCCAGGTGCAGGGTCCAAGGACCTAGGCCATCCTCCACTGCACTCCCGGGCCACAGCAGAGAGCTGGACTGGAAGAGGAGCAACTGGGACAGAATCCGGCGCCCCAACCGGGACTAGAACCCGGTGTGCCAGCGCCGCAGGCGGAGGATTAGCCTAGTGAGCCGCGGCGCCTCATTTTTTAGTTTTCCATTCTGCAGGTGAATCTTTAATTTCTTGCTTTGCCTGCTTTCCCTTTGCTCCTCTATTCCCTTTCTCAAAAAAGGTCTTTTTATGATTATGATTATGATTATTTGAAAGGCAGAGCAACAGAGACACAGAGAGATTGTCAGTCTGCTGATTTAGTCCCCAGATGCTCACAACAGCTGGAGCTGGGCCAGGATGAAACTAGGAGCCCTTAACTCAGTTCAGATCTCCCATAAATGGGGCAAGAATTCTGGTACTTGAGCCACCACCTGCTGTTTCCCAGGGTGTGCGTAAGCAGCAGGGAGCTGGGTCAAAAGCAGAGAATTTGGAACACTCTGATATGGGATGTCCATATCAGAGGCGGGGTGGGTGGGGGTGGGGGTGGGGGTGGGGAGAGGTCTTCTATCTGCTCCTTCTTTCCCCCAACTGCAGGATCTGGGCTGGGCTGAAGCCGGGAGCCAAAACTCCTTCCAGGTCTCCTACATGGGTGGCAGGAACCCAAGTATAATTGTGCCATGATTTGTCATCATTTACTGCATCCCACACGTATTAGCAGGAAACTGGATCACAAGGGAGAGAGTAGCTCAGACTCCAACCGGTGTTCCTGCCACAGTCCCAAGCTGTGGCTTAAACTGCTATGCTACCATGCCCCACCCCTTCCCTTGTTTGCACTTTTTTGTTCGAAGATTTATCCTTGCCTACTGCCTTTTTTTTTTTTTTTTTTTTGCAGGAGCAGGAAGAGCTGACAGCCTCGCTGGTCCTTTGGGCACTTCCCTCCCTGCCCTTTCAGGAATGCTGACCTTTTCTGGAGCATCTGCCAGCAGGGAGGGCATGAGTCATGTGCCTGGCCGCAAGGGAAACGTGAGAGCATAACTGGGAAGTTCAAGGATGAGGGTTGAAAACAGGGAGCCTTTGAGAGCTTGTGTGGCTGTTCTAAGCAGGGGAGTGCAGCTAGCTGTGTATGAAGATCAAGAATGGCCCTCCTGGGGCCGGTGCTGTGGCTTAGAAGGTTAATCCTCCACATGCAGTGCCAGCATCCCATATGGACCCTGGTTCGAGCCCCGACTGCTCCAGTTCTTTCCAGATCGCTGCGTATGGCCTGGGAAGCAGAGGAAGATGGCCCAAGATCACCCACGGGGGGCTTCAGATTGGTCCAGCTCTGGCCGTGTGGCCATCTGGGGAGTGAACCAGCAAATCGAAAACTTCTCCCTCTCTGTAACTCAGTCTTTTTGTTTTAAATGACCGTCCTTTATCAAGGAAGGGACGGGAACGGAGAGTGGTGAGAGAGCGAGGGGCACCTGCCTCGCCTGCCAGATGGAGAACAGAGAGCCCCAAAGCTTCACAGAAGCATCTTTGGATAGGGAGTCCTAGGGGAGTCTGAAAGTGACTCCCTAGGCCTGGCTTTAAGGTGAGACATTAGGCACACACAGCCCAAAACCCTCTCTTTTTGTTTTTGGGAGACTATTGACCAGTAGGAGCTGATTTTGTGGAGATAATTTTTCCTGCAACCCAGATATCAAGACCCAGCAATTATCAAGACACAAGAAAAGCACAATTGAATTTTCTTTGTCACTACCTTGTCGCCTCTCCCACCCCACCACCTTTTTTAGTTGCTAAACCTTTGTTCAATCTGTGCCCAGAGGAGAGCTGTCCTGTCAGAACACAGAAGCTCATCCACGTGTTAGAGTAAATTGGTTTCCTAGGAATTCTAAGTCCCTTAAATTCGTATTTTGGGTGCATGAGAAGTAGGTAGGGAACCTCAGTAAATCCTGGGGGCCAGTCAATCCAGGTGCATCATTGTTTGTCCCAGGTGATGGGAGACAAGTAATGGGAATCATTGGAGAGGAGCGTATTGACAAAAGCAGAACACAGATGGACGATGGTTAAAATATTTGGGTGCTGGCAGAGATCATAGACAGGCCAGCGTCAGGTTAGGCATCAGGGGAAGCTGGATTTGTCACGTTGATTGATAAATCTCAGATCTGGTGTTAGCAGATGACTTTTATCATTTGGCTCTTAATTTTTTATTTTATTAAATCATTTTTCTTTGTTTTCATTTTATTTGCAAGGCAGAGAGAGAGAAAATCTTTCACCCGCTGATTCACTCCCCAAATGGCTGTGCGGGCAGAAGCCAGGAGCCTAGAACTCTGAGTCCCCCACAAGGGTTGCAGGGGCCAAGTACTTGGCTCATCATCTGCTGCCTTGCCAGGATTAGCAGGGAGCTGGATTTGGGCTCTGGTATGGGATGCCACCTCAGAAGCGGCAGCTTACCACACTGTGCCACAAGCACCAGCCACTGATTTAGAGCCTTAATTGAATGAGTGCTAGGTTGAAGTGGGGAAAAGGAACTCAGGGAAGCCAGTTGAAGCCACTGGGGACAGAGACACGAGGCTCAGGAGTCAGGGAGGAATCCTTTGGGGCCACACAGTGTCTTGGTAAGTCAATTCGCGGGAGGGTCGGCAACAGATACGCGGGAGCTGTAGAACTGAGTAGGAAGTTAACACCGCTGTAAGAGGGAGAGGTTGAGAAAAGAAAATCAGAAGGCAAATGATCAAAGCCCGCCACCATTGCAACGTTTTGTGGCTCTTGGGAAACCAGGTGATGTTAGGGGTGGCATAAGACACGCGGTAGGTCGCCCTTCAATTATACACTGTTCCCCACCCTGCCTTTTTTTTTTTTTTTTTTAAGATTTTCGTTTATTTATTTGAGAGGCAGAGTTACAGAGATAGAGAGAGGTCTTCCATCATGGATCCAAAGCCAGGAGCTTCTTCTGGGTCTCCAACGTGGGTGCAGGGGCCCAAGCACTTGGGCTATCTCCCACTGCTTTCCCAAGCATTGCAGAGAGCTGGATCGAAAGAGGAGCAGCCGGGCCGCCAACCGGAGTACAGAATGCTGGCACTGCAGGTGGGGGTTTAACCTGCTTCGACACAGTGCCAGCCTGGCTTGTTTCCCTTTCAGTACTGTGGCAGTGGAGGGCATTTGCCATTTATTTCTAATGTAAATGATTGGGAGTCAATGAATTTTCTGATTAGAATGCGCCTCGGGGTTCTTCCGATTCCCGACCCAGCATTCTTTTTACACTGTTTGCCTTGGATCCAGTTTCCTGCTAACTTACCTGCAGTTTATAGTGTGGGCAAGCAGCTAGATCATGGAGCACCTATGATTTTGGGGCTGTGGGTTAATATTTTCAGTTTTTCTAATTAGTTTAATTGCAGTGGCACAGTGTCATCAATCTGCCTTGTGAATGTTCCTTCCCTGCCGCACCCCCCCCCCCCATTCTTTTTTAAAGAAACACCGTCTCAGGGCGGTCGTCCTGGCGCAGTGGGCTAAACTTCCGCTTGAGACGCCGTCATTCCATATCTGAATGCCAGTTCAAATCCGACTATTGTGCTTCTGCGCTGATGAGCCCGGGTAAAGCAGCGGAAGATGGCAGGAGCATTTGGGAGACAATAAATTAATCTTTTTTTTTTTTTTTTGACAGGCAGAGTGGACAGTGAGAGAGAGAGACAAAGAGAAAGGTCTTCCTTTGCCGTTGGTTCACCCTCCAATGGCCGCCGCGGCCGGCACGCGGTGCACCGCGCTGATCTGAAGCCAGGAGCCAGGTGCTTCTCCTGGTCTCCCATGGGGTGCAGGGCCCAAGCACTTGGGCCATCCTCCACTGCACTCCCGGGCCATAGCAGAGAGCTGGCCTGGAAGAGGGGCAACCGGGACAGAATCCGGCGCCCCGACTGGGACTAGAACCCGGTGTGCCGGCGCTGAAGGCGGAGGATTAGCCTATTTAGCCGAGGCGCTGGCCAATAAATTAATCTTAAGAACAACATCAACAAAAAGAAATACTATTATTGCAGCTCAGACATGTTTGCGTTTTGTCTGTTGCTGTTATTTTTGGAGATGTGAGCTGGGGTTGGAGATCGTTACAAAGGTTGCTTCCAGAGCCGAGATGGGAAGTCTGTTCCCACATGGAATGTGTTTTCCACGGCGTCTCCCTCAGTGGTATTATCCTTTCGTTGCTCACGATTTTGAATGTGCAGCCTGTACATTTTGGTGAGACAGACAGGAGAGGTGCCTCCTAGCCTTTTTTCTCGTTCTCCTCAGGCTTCAGCAAGATCTTCAGGGATCTTCTGAGACCCTGGAAGGTCCTCAGATGTGGTCCGCTTGGCTTTTTCAAACGAAAAGGGAGGCATCCGCAGGAATGATCAGTGAGTGAGTGAGTTGATGCGGGTAAGAGAATCTTGGAGAGTATGCCCCCTGAACAATCCTAAGTTGTTCCGCAAATTTTTCTTTCTTTTTTTTTTTTTTTTTTTTTCCTAAAAGTGGTTAGGAAAAGTTCCTGGTGATGGCTCTTGTCATTCAGACCCAGGCTTAAGTGATGTTTTTTTCTTTAAATACTTTTCATTTGTTTATTTAAAGATTTATATATTTGAAAGGCAGAGTTAGAGTAGCAGAGGCAGAGGGGGAGAGAGCTTTTCCATCCGTTGGTTCACTTTCCAGATGGCTGCAATGGCAGGAGCTGGGCTGATTCGAAGCCAGGAGCTTCTTCTGGGTCTTCTGCACGGGTGAGGCGGACTAAACACTTGTGCCATCTTCCGCTTCTTTCCCAGGCTGTAGCAGAGAGCTGGATCAGAAGTGAAGCAGCTGGATCTTGAACCAGCACCCATATGGGAAGTCAGCACTTCAGGTGGCAGCTTCACCTGCTAAGCCCAGTGCCGGGCCCCTTATTTTTATTTATTAAAAGGCGGTGAGGGGCGGGGGCAGGAGGAGGAAGAGAGAAAGAAATAGAGATCTTCCATCTGCTGGCTCCCTCCCCAAATGGTTGCAATGGCCCCTGACGATCCAGGCTGAAGGCAGGTGCCAGGAACTCTACGCAAGTTTCCCACTTAGGTGGCAGGCAGGGTCCGAAGCACTTGGGCCACCCTCCACGGCTTTCCCATTTCACACTAGCAGAGTAGATGGGGAGCGGAGCAGCGCAGACTGCGCTGTACCGGCTGTGCTATTGCACTGGCTGCGGGTTTAAGTGCTCTCGCTGTTCAAGTAGCTGGGGAACTGGTGCCTAGTGTACGCTGAGCTGCTTCTGCAGGAGCTGGGCGTCTGGTGCTGGATCTTCTGGGGATCGAGGGGCTCGATGTTTGGGCGGTGGAGGATGTTCGGGGAGAGAAGGATACAAAAGAGAGGTAGTGGGGATGGGAGGGATACAGAGTTGCTGTAGGGTGTACTGAATCAGAAAAATGTTTCCGAAGACGCAGTTTAAAAGCCTGACAGTTTGAGCAGACCTTCGTGTATTTGAGATTTTTTTCCTTTTTTGCTTTACATCTCCCCTTAGGTGGATTAATTTGGAGGAGTCAAAGGAACCCTACAAGGGTGATTGTTATTAAAAGAGTCTTGAGTAGACTTTTGTAGGTGAGACAGAAAGCGGACAGTGTGGAGACCCCGGTGGTAAAGGATTTTGATGACTGAGTTCTCTGGAGAGAACTGGATCGAATAGAACAGGGCCTCATGAGGAACCAGGAACAGAAGTTTTCTAGCTGAGGAGTTGGAAATGAACCCCAGTGTACACAAGAAGCCAGAAGGAAGAACTTTGAGCTCAGGAGTCACGGATGGCAAGAAGCCTGGTGCTCTAACCCCCTCTCAGGGACTTCGCTCAGAACGGTAAGAATCAAAAACCACCCAGAGCACTGGATTCGGAGTCAAAATGACCACCAGACACTCAGACGAGTGTTGAGACGGAAGTCACCGAACTTGTCAAGGGGTGTCCTGTTAGCTGGATGGCAGTCGGCACCGATAATGACAAAGGTCAACGGAGTGCGTATAAGTTAAGTTGGTGAAGACTGGTTAATTCTGTTCAGTAACTACTGGCAGTAGGGGAAAGAACCAGGCTCCATTCTGATTTGTGCAGAAGGGATTTGGCCATTTTAAAGGAATCGGTAGAGTCAGAGACATGAAATCGAATCAAAGGGCTTCCAGGTCCCTGGGGGTGGAAGGGCACAGAAGCTTCGTGCTCCCAACCTCAGATGTTGCCCTGTGCATCTCCTTGGTCTGGCTCGTCGGTAGTCTCTGTAATATCCTTTATGATAAACCAGTGAATGTAAATTCGCAGCAGCTATGAAAAGCTTCTCCTGAATCCACCTTTGATTGTTAGTGAACAATTGCTCAGATGCTTCAGCGCTAATTACAATAATGAAAAGGAAACACACGATTCCCATATTAAGTGAATTGGGGATACATTTGCAGATTTGGAAACCGTGAGTTTGCTTTAGGTGTGGATCATTTGGAAGAATATATGAAACAAATGTACTTTGGCCGGCGCCGCGGCTCACTCGGCTAATCCTCCGCCTGCGGCGCCGGCACCCCGGGTTCTACTCCCGGTCAGGGCGCTGGATTCTGTCCCGGTTGTCCCTCTTCCAGTCCAGCTCTCTGCTGTGGCCAGGGAGTGCAGTGGAGGAGGGTCCAAGTGCTTGGGCCCTGCACCCCATGGGAGACCAGGAGAAGTACCTGGCTCCTGGCTTTGGATCAGCGCGGTGCGCCGGCCGCGGCGGCCATTGGAGGGTGAACCAACGGCAAAGGAAGACCTTTCTCTCTGTCTCTGTCTCTCTGTCCACTCTGCCTGTCAAAAAAAAGAAAAAGAAGGCCGGCGCCGCGGCTCACTAGGCTAATCCTCCGCCTTCAGCGCTGGCACACCGGGTTCTAGTCCCGGTCGGGGCGCCGGATTCTGTCCCGGTTGCCCCTCTTCCAGGCCAGCTCTCTGCTGTGGCCAGGGAGTGCAGTGGAGGATGGCCCAGGTACTTGGGCCCTGCACCCCATGGGAGACCAGGAAAAGCACCTGGCTCCTGGCTCCTGCCATCGGATCAGCGCGGTGCGCCGGCCGCAGCGCGCCGGCCGCGGCGGCCATTGGAGGGTGAACCAACGGCAAAGGAAGACCTTTCTCTTTGTCTCTCTCTCTCACCGTCCACTCTGCCTGTCAAAAAAATAAAAAAAAAGAAAAAGAAAGAAAAAGAAAGAAACAAATGTACTTTATGTGGCTCCTCAGTCCTGCCAATGACAGACATTTTGTTTTCTTTTAAAGGTTTTTTTGTTTATTCGAAAGGCAGAGTTACAAAGAGAGAAGGAAGAGAGGGAGGGAGAGAGCCGTGTCCTATCCTCTCTGCTTCACTCCCCAAAGAGCTGCATCGGCCCTGGGCAGGGCCAGGGTGAAATCAGGAGCCAGGAGTTTCATTTGGGTCTTTCACACGGGTGCAGGGGCCCAAGGACTTGATCCATCTTCCACTGCTTTCCCAGGACATAGCACAGAGCTGGATCGGAAGTGGAGCAGTCGGGACTCCAAGCGGCATCCACAAGAGATGCCGGCGCTGCAGGTGACAGCTTTATCTGCTACACCACGCCAGCCCCAGACTTATTCTGAAGCTCTTGGATGTGTGAATGTTAGAAGTTCTCTGCCCAATTAATGTGGAGTTTGATGGCGTGGAATTACTGTGGAGATCAGAGAGCCATCTTGGAAGTCAGGTAACTAATACAGTGTTGGTGGCTACTTGTGCTGATTTGGCACTATTTAATCCAGGCACACTCAGATCTGATTTTTTTTTATTTTTATTTATTTTTTATACTATTTTTTAAGCTTTTATTTAATGAATATAAATTTCCAAAGTACAACTTATGGATTACAATGGCTTCCCCCCATCAGATCTGATTGTACATGTCCAGTGGAGAATTTTACTTGAAAAGAAAAGATTTTTTTCTTTTTGTCTGTCCTTGCCATAGTGAATCCATTTTAGTTGTCAGAGTAGCAGGTATACAGTGGCTTGAAGCACCTGAACATAGGATTTACTCTAGACGGATATTTCCTTACATCGTTGACAGAATTTGGAGTTAATTCAGATGCAGAATCAGGACACTGAATCTTTTTTTTTTTTTTTAAATATGTATGTATTTACTTGAAATGTAGAGTTACAGAAATGGTAGGAGAAACAGAGAGAAAGAGCTGTTCCATACACTGGTTCAACCCCGCATGGTGGCAACGGCGGGCGGGAACTGTGCAGGTTTACAGCTAGTAGCCAGGAGCCAAAAGCTTTTCCCAGGTCTCCCATGTGGGTGCAGGGGCCCAAGTACTTGGGCCATCTTCCGCTGCTTTCCCAGGCCATTAGCAGAGAGCTGGATCAGAAATGGAGCAGCCAGGTCATGAAACGGTGTCTATGTAGGATGCCTGTGTCGTAAGGGGCCGTTTAACCTGTAGCCCCACAGCATCAGCCCCAGCACACTGAATCTTTTTTTTTTTTTTTTTTTTTGACAAGAGTTAGACCGTGAGAGACAGAGAGAGAGAGAGAGAGAGAGAGAGAGAGAGAGGCCGGCGCCGCGGCTCACTAGGCTAATCCTCCGCCTTGTGGCGCCGACACACCGGGTTGTAGTCCTGGTCGGGGCGCCGGATTCTGTCCCGGTTGCCCCTCTTCCAGGCCAGCTCTCTGCTATGGCCAGGGAGTGCAGTGGAGGATGGCCCAAGTGCTTGGGCCCTGCACCCCATGGGAGACCAGGAGAAGTACCTGGCTCCTGCCATCGGATCAGCGCGGTGCGCCGGCCGCAGCGCGCCAGCCGCGGCGGCCATTGGAGGGTGAACCAACGGCAAAGGAAGACCTTTCTGTCTCTCTCTCTCATTGTCCACTCTACCTGTCAAAAAAAAATTAGAGAGAGAGAGAGAGAGAAAGAAAGAAAGAGAAAAGACTTCATTTCCGTTGGTTCAACCCCAAAATGGCCGCTACAGCCGGCGCGCTGCACCAATCTGAAGCCAGGAGCCGGGTGCTTCCTCTTGGTCTCCCACGCGGGTGCAGGGCCCAAGCACTTGGGCCATCCTCCACTGCCTTCCTGGGCCACAGCAGAGAGCTGGACTGGAAGAGGAGCAACCAGGACAGAACCCGGGGCCCCAACAGAGACTAGAACCCGGGGTGCTGGCGCTGCAGGCAGAGGATTAGCCAAGTAAGCTGTGGCGCCGGCCAGCACACTGAATCTTAAAAGGTATTATAAAAGTTCAAGGTAATACCTACAAATAAACAGATTTTACCTTCTAGGCAGGCGTTGTAGCACAACAGGTTAAGTTGCTGCTCCCATGGGATGTCTACATCCCATTTGGGTTCAAGTTATGGCTACTCCTTTTGATGCAGCTTCCTGGTAACACACACCCTAAGGCAGCAGATGATGGCTCAAGAACTTGAGTCCTTGCCACCTGTGTGGGGGACATGGATGGAGTTCTTGGCTCCTTGTTTCTACCTACCCCCATCCCGACTGTTGTGGGTATTTGGGGAATGAACTGGTTTATAGAAAATTCTCTCTCTCCCTCCCTCCCTGCTGTCTCTCCCTCTTTTTCAGTCACTCTTCTTCAAATAAATAAATATACAAATATTTACAAATTGTGCTCTCTTGCTATTAAAGTGCATTTGAAATAGGAAGGATGCTTAAACTGTGCAGAAAATTTGTCTTCAAATATTTAGTACAGAAACTGAAGAGTATTTTCCTACAGTATAATGAATCACATTGAATTGATAGCATTTTTGCAAGGAAGCAATGAGTGTCTTCCAGGCCATTGAATGAGTTTAATTACTGCCACAAACAAATCACCATCACTGACAGCCTTTGAGGAAAAATCAGATAAACCATCAGCAGTAATTGCAGCAGTACCTTGCACAGAAGGACAGATTTGCCATATTTCTCAGAACGTTCACAACAACTGAGAACTGCAAGGAGACAAAGCCTTAAGAATTTCCTTCAGTTAGTGATAATGCATTAGAAAACTCTGATTCTGATAGAAACATATAGATAATGTGTTTTATTAGTCAAGGCCAAAAAAACCCTGTCAAATTAACATACAAATTTAGCCTTGACAACTACAGTAATATAATTATGGCTCTTTTGTACTTTCCCAGATCGATTTTAATTCTAGAGATACTTGCTCTAACTGTTCTTTTCATTTGGTTTTTACCAAGTCATATAATTTTTGAGTATAGTGTGTTTTGCCAGAAACAAATGAGAACATATTTGTGACTTAAGTATATATCCTGGGTAATGCTCCCAGATTAAGTGACTTCCATACTCAAAAGAAAAAAAAAAAAAAAAGCAAAGCACCCAGGACTGGTCATTGTAAATTAAATGTGATCAGGCAGCTTTGTCGGCTGGCAGGCTGTTATCTAACTAAGGATCCTATCCTCCCACAAGACCTGGAGACAAACAAGGCTTATCTTTCTTGTTGAAAACATCCAATGGCCTTGAGACCTTTGATAGAGAAGCTTCTGAGTTGCAAGAACTACACCCTCTAAAGTACAACAGCGAGCCCTTTTCAGTAAATGCACTAGGAAAGGGATATCAGGGGCCTAGCACTGGGTGTGTGTTGGCGAGGACGTATAGTAACTTTTCTGGCAGCATGGAGCCGTCACCAGGAGGCACTTTAAGGAGAACAGAGGTCACTCAGAGAGGCAGCCCCGTGCTGCTAGATGGCATGCTGGGGTTGGGCTCATCTCTGAGTGCAGGGGTGTGGGTGGGGTGATGTGTGCCAGGAGTTCTGCAGTTTTTACTCTACGCAAGCTACACTGCATCCTGCACAGCCTGGTGCTCTTCCAGGCATTCTCCAGGTCTGTCTTGGAACCCTTTGGGCGATTGTTCTTGTTTTGGAGCCCTTTAACCTCAAGTATGCCCCAGCATTTTCTTTTAAATAATATTTATTGTATCTATAGGTTATAGGGACAGTATTGTGGCGTAGCAGGTAAAGCTGCCGTCTTTGCTGGCATCCCATATGGGCACTGGTTCGAGTCCTGGCTGCTCCTTTTCCAATCCAGCTCACGGCAAATGCCCGTGGGAAAGCAGTAGAAGATGGCCCAGGTTCTTGGGCCCCTGCATGCATGTAGGAGACCCCAGGAGAAGTTCTTGGTTCCTTAGTTCAATCTGGCCCAATCCTACCCATTGCAGCCATTTGGGGAATCTGTGTCTCTCCCTCTCCCTCTCAGTAACTCTGCCTTTCAAATAAATATAATAAATCTAAAAGAATATGGCGGGGGGAGAAAGAGAGAGAGAGAGAGAGAGAGAGATATCTTCCATCTCTCCCCAAACGGCTGCAATGCCCTAGAATTGGGCAAAGTAGAAGCCAGGAGCCTGTAACCCCATCTGGGTCTCCCATGTGGGTCACCCATCTTCCTCTGCTTTCCCGGGTGTGTTAGTAGGAAGTTGGATCAGAAGCGGAGTAACCTGAACTCAAACAGTCACCTGTCTGGCCCGCTCCCAGTCATTTTCATCTTGGAACTATTTGGGGTCAAAAACACCCCAGCATTTTTGTGTTTGAATTGTTTGGGCTACAAAATGCCCCAACATTCTCATCTTGAAACCCTTGCTCAGCGCTTGGGGGACGAAACGCCCAGCATTCCCATCTTGGAACAGTTTGGGGTACAGATATGCCTCAGCAGGCAGGTGTTGTGGCGCGGCAGGTTAAGCTGCCACCCGGGGCACAGGCATCCCATATGAACAGTGGTTATAATCCCACCTGCACTAGTTAAAATCCAGCTGTGTGTGTGTGTGTGTGTGTGTGTGTGACAGGCAGAGTGGACAGTGAGAGAGAGAGAGACAGAGAGAAAGGTCTTCCTTTGCCGTTGGTTCACCCTCCAATGGCCGCCATGGCCGGGGCGCTGCGGCAGGCGCACCGCGCTGATCCGATGGCAGGAGCCAGGTACTTCTCCTGGTCTCCCATGGGGTGCAGGGCCCAAGTACTTGGGCCATCCTCCACTGCACTCCCTGGCCACAGCAGAGAGCTGGCCTGGAAGAGGGGCAACCGGGACAGAATCCAGCGCAAGGCGGAGGATTAGCCTAGTGAGCCATGGCGCCAGCCAAAATCCAGCTTTCTACTAATGTGCCTGGGAAAGCAGCGGAACGGCCCAAGTGCTTAGGTCTCTGCACCCACGTGGGAGACCCAGATAAAGTTCCAGGCTCCTGGTTTCATCCTGGCTCAGCCCTGGTTGTTGTGGCCACTTGGGGAGTGAGCCAGCAGATGGGAGATTCTCTCTCTGTCTCTGTGCCTTTCAAACAAATAAGATTAAAAAAAAACACCCCGCATTCTCCTATCGAAACTGTTGCCCCCCTCCCTCCTGCCGTGATCTCAGAACCATTCGTGTGTTGTGTGCCCCTATTTTCAAGCTCTTTGGGGGTACAGTACACCTCATTCTCATCTTGGAACGCTTTGCAGTGCTGCGCGACACTGCACCGCAGCTCCCAAGCTGTGAGTTGTGAGGTCACAGCAGTCAGGCCCCGACAGAGAAATCACACAGTGGTATCCATCAAACAGCATGTAGGCACACGCCGCAGCGCTCTCTCCAGCGGGGACTTCTGTCTGTCGGGCTGGTTACCGAGCCCACAGCAGTCTATCTGGGTATCCTGCTACCCTACTCATGGCGCCCATTGTTCTAATGCGCCCCAGACTTGTTTGAGCAGGTGTAGTAAGCAAGAAGGAGTTTTGAAATTGTACCCATGTTCCCCTAGACCCAGGAGACACAGCACCATGCAGGGCTACACAGGGAAATGCCGAGTGAGATAAAAAGGCAGAGGTGGTGGTGAGGGTGACCTGCAGGTGGGCGGGAACTTTTTTCTCAGGAAGAAATGAATCAAGCAGGGTCAGCAGGCATACACACATAGACTGTAGTTTGTAGGCTGTGCCAGTGGTTTGGTACCTAGCCCTGCAATGATTAGAACAGGGGATAGTGTCCCAGACCCCAGAGGTCTGGTAATTGAGATGGTTGGGGCTAGGGTCCGGCGGATTGGTTGGTTTCATAGCAAAGACAAACTGGCAGGTCAGTTTGCTCTCTCTAGGAATTAGTTAATCCTGAGAGAGGTGGTTCCTCAGCCCTGAAAGTCCCCAGTTGCATGAAGAATACAGAAAATATAGTTGATACAATTGACTATGAGATGCTCCGACATTACAGAAATTTCTGGAACGCTTTCCATATCATAACATTTGAATGCCACCAATTAATTTCTAGAAATAGGGTCTGTGAAATTCACATTAGCCTCTAATTTTTTCCTTGTAGCCTCTTACACTCCAATGCAATAATTGGCTCTTTTCCCCGTAGCCTTGGACGCAATCGGCAGCTTTCGACGAAGCTGAATGTCCCCTTCCCCGCTGCTGGCTGCCGAGACTCATTAAAGTGGACGATGAATGTCAGCTTCGTGCTCGTTATGAGTAGCACTGGCCACGGACGTTGCTGCTCACAGTCTCTGAGAAGAACGGAAGGGTTTTGTGGTCTGAATCCGTGGTGGGAATGGCAAACGAGGTTTCCCCATGAAGCAGCAGGGTGTCCTGACCGTGGTGGAGTCTGCCCGCTGCTGAGTAGGGGGCACTCCTGTTAAAGACCAGGGGAACTGGAGAAAGAAAGTGCAAATCTGTCCGGTTGAATTGTGGATGACAGTTGGAGCCTTTTCAAGCTGGTTTTTGTTAGGAGAGAGAGAGGGAGGAAGGGAGAGAGGGAGGATATTCTTGACAGATCAGTATATCCAGTTCCTCGTCACCTGGAGCCCAAAAGAACTATGAGAATCCACAAACCTCTCGGTCTCTACAGAGACTTTACAAAGAAGATGATGTCTGCCAATATGTATTAAGAGAGCCCTTGCAAAAGAAGATAGGAACCCAAGACCAAGCACCTGAGGTTCAGCATCCTACTACTCTACGCGTTCTGCAATAGCAATGCTGGGGAATTGCCCTGAGGAAACAAGGGTACTAAGAAACCAGGGAGGGGAGGCAGCGCTGAGGCTGAACGAGTTAAGCCGCCACCTGCAATCCCAGCATCCCATATGGGCGCTGGTTCAAGTCCAGGCTGCTCCACTTCTGATCCAGTTCTATGCTAATGCACCTGCGAAAGCAGAGGAGGATGGCTCAGTCCTTGGGCCCCTGCCAACCACACGGTAGACCGGGGATGGAGCCCTGGACATTGTGGTCATTTGGGAGTGAACCAGCAGATGGAAGATTTCTCTCTCTCTCTTCTCTGTCTCTTCCATTCAGTGTGTCTTTCTAATAAATGTATTTTTAAAAAAGATTTATTTATTTATTTGAAAGAGTTACACAGAGAGAGGAGAGGGAGGGAGGGAGGGAGGGAGAGAGGGAGAGAGAGAGAGAGAGAGAGAGATCTTCCATCCGCTGGTTCACTCCCCAGATGTCCGAAATGGCCAGAGCTGCGCTGATCCGAAGCCAGCAGCCAGGAGCTTCTTCCGGGTCTCCCACACGGGTGCAGGGGCCCAAGGACTTGGGCCATCTTCTACTGCTTTCCCAGGCCACAGCAGAGAGCTGGATCGGAAGTGGAGCAGCCAGGTCTCAAATCGGTGCCCATAGGGGATGCCGGTGCTTCAGGCCAGGGCATTAACCCACTGCGCCACAGCACCAGCCCCTCAAATAAATGCATTTTTTAAAAGAGGCTGTAGAATATGCTAAACTTCTGGCTAAGAGAATGAAGACCAAAGAAAATTGCCAGCAATTGATTGCCAAGATTCAGAGGCTGTCTTCTCAAGGGCTTCCATTTCTTATTAGTCCAGTGAAAAATGAGAATTTTTAAAAGTAAAAATAATTAAGACTAGGCCTCAAAAAAGATTAATTATATATTGTTGCAAATGGACAAGTGGAGATTTTAAGTAGAGTGAAAGGCTTAAGAATATATTTTCATATTGATGACCTCATTGTATGAAAAGGATAGCAATTCTTTTAAAAATGAACGATCTTTATTCACTTATTTTTATTTATTTGAAGGGAAGTGGAACAAGAGAGACAAATAGATTTCACATTTGCCAATTCACTCCCCCAAATGGCTGTAGCAGCCAGGGCTAGGCAAGGCTGAAGCCAGGAGCCCAGAACTCAATGTAGGTCTCCCACATGGGTGGCAGGGACGCAAGCATTTGAGTCATCACCTGCTGCCATCTGGGGTGTGCATCAGCAGGGAATTTGAACCCAGGCATTCTGCTATGAGATGCAAGTGTCCTTAAGCGGTATCTTAACAGCTGTATCAAACATCCACCCCAATAGTAATGCCTTTTTTCTTTTTTCTTTTTTTTTTTTAATTGGGCTAAGTGTTTCTGGTGCAGTGGGTTAAGCCTTGGCTTGCAACACTGGTATCCCATATGGGAGACCTAACTGCTTTGTTTCTGATCCAGCTCCCTGGTTATGTGCCTGGCTCTTGGCTTCAGGCTGTCCCAGCCTTGGCTGTTGCAGCCATTTGGGGAGTTAACCAGCAAATGGAAGATTCTCTCTCTGTCTCTCTCTCATCCTCCTCTATTTCTACCTCCTTCTCCTCCTCCTCTCTCCTCTCTCTTGCTCTTTCAACTCTGCCTTTCAAATTAAATAAGTAAATACTAACAAAAAAGAATTTCTGTAGGATGCAGGAGGATTGAAGATATTTGCAGTCTCCTCTCCACACTTACTACTGCAACTTTAACTGGAGCTTCACAAAGTTTGTGGAAAATTACATTGAGATATGAATTTGTTTTGGTGCAAAAAAGGCTGAAATACATGCACAGGTCTTCCATAATACACATCTCTATGAACTTGCTGAAAACCCACCGAATGCATAAATTTTAACTTTTTTGTGCCCAAATAATCTTATTTGCTAATTTCCGTTTTCCATGAATGCTTCTGATCAGGTTAGTGCTTTAGTTTGCATTTTTATCCACCGTGTTGTTACAATAACCAGCTGTGGGAACTAGCGCTAGCATCTTGCCCTCTTCTTCGTGAATGTCATCTTTGTCTGTCTTACAGGAACCGGCAAGACAGTATGGAGCCGTGTTTGTGATCATTCTTGTTTATTTTTAAATTGTGATTTGGATGGCACCTAGGGGTGATTGTGTTACAGTAAAAGATAATTTATGTATTTTAAATGCAACATAGAAACTTTATTTAACAAAAGTAACAGGTAAAGCCAAACAGGTGTTTGCATGAAGAGAAAAACTGACTGGAGAAAACTGTATGGTAAACACCTTACAGTAAGCTACCTGCAGTTGCATTTAACTGAGCTCTGTCGTGAAGGATAATCTCATGCAGGTGTGGATGAGTGATTTGTACATTTCCCAGGTGTTCATGGAATATACATAATACACATACGCGTTACATTTGGAAAAGAATTGGTGATCTCCAGATATACTTCATTTTTGTCAGTCTTTTGGGTGAGGTCGTCTAAAGAGAAGAACCTGGGGCTCTGGCTCCTGAGTCAGGCAGTGAACCTGTCCTGGACTTTGCTGGACACCCGGCCTCCTCCACTCCTCCCCAGACAGGTGGGTTTTGGTACTTGTTTGGAGTGTTCTCTGGATATCCTGGCATGCTGGCCAGAGTGAGAAATCTGCTTGTGGGCCATCCTGCTGGTGTGGGGCCGACAGGGAGAAGCCCAAGTGTGAAGAGTGGGCACAGCACCCATAATGCATGCGTACATCTATGTCGGGTCAAGGCAACAACTCTGAGAGATAATATTGTACTGTTGAAAGATGTAAAAATCCTTTTCAAAGAGTGTGCCACTATTGAACCCTGCATTTTCTTATAAGTGGTTGGCCCTGTCTCATAAGTTTTGATCCTTGACTCATTCATTCGTTCTTTCCTACCTTCCGTTTTTTAAAGATGTATTTATTTAATTGAAAGGCAGAGTTACAGAAAGAGAGAGAGGGAAAGACAGAGATCTTCCATCCACTCTTTTGTTCCCCAAATGGCTAAACAGCTCTCTTCCTTTTTTTCTTTATTTTTAATTTGAAAGGCAAAGAGAGGAGAAACACACAGATATCAATCTTCCATCTGCAGGTTCCTCTCCAGATGTCCACGAAGATGGAGCTGGGCCAGACTGAAGTGAGCAGTCGGGTGCTGCATCCGCATCTCCCACGTGAGTGGCAGGGGCCCAAATCAAACAGTGGACCACCCGCAACTGCCTCCCACATGCATTAGCAGAAAGCTGGATCAGAAGCAGAGGAGGGTGGGACTTGATCCCAGGCCCACTAATATGACATGGGAAAGGGGAGGGGGGCAGGCAGGGGTTTACCTGTTGAGCCAGGATGCACACCCCATGGGGGCACCTTCTTGAAGCAGAAGTCAACAGCAGGTTTTCAGGTAATATCCAGGAATGTTTTTCTTCTTTGATGTGTTTCTGACTAAAACTTAAGGGGTTACAGTTGATTAACCAGGCTATCAGGAATAATAATAGCCAACTCTTAAAAGTATTTTGTGTTTGTGTTTGTGTGTGTGTGTGTGTGTGGGTGGTGGTGGTGGATTAGGTTTATAGTTTAATTGTTCACATGCAGGTTAACAATAAATTTACCAATAAATACATTAACAATAAATGTACTTGGGGGCCAGCAATGTGGTGGAGTGCGTAAAGCCACCGCCTGCAGTGCCTGCATCCCGTATGGGTGCCAGTTTGAGTCCCAGGCTGCTTCACTTCCAGTCCAGCTCTCTGCTAAGGTCTCTGAAAGCAGTCCTTGGGCCCCTGCAGCCGTGTGGGAGACCTGGAAAAAGCTCCTGGCTCCCGGCTTCAGATAAGCACAGCTCTGGCTGTTGCGGCCATCTGGGGAATGAACCAGCAGATGGAAGACCTCTCTGTCTCTGCCTCTCTGTAACTCTGCCTTTCAAATAAATAAATGAATCTAAAAAACAAACAAACAAGAATAAACGTACTTAGTGAGCAATTTAGGGCTCCCAGAAATCTAGTAGGTTTTAGCCAGTCCTTTTTCTTTTCTAAGAGCCGTGGCAATCTCTGGTTCTAAGAAAATCCTCTTCTCTAGGAAAATCTTCCCTGTTTTCCTAGGTAAATCTCTCTTCAAGTTTGAAAAAACTCTGTCATTAACTCCCCCCTTTTTTAGGGCTGAGGATTTTTATCAAACCACGCACTTAGCTGAAAGGAAGACAATTGCAACAGCAACATTCAAAATTTTCTGCCGTTTGCCCAACATGTGGAGAGCAGAGTTTGTAAAATGCATCCTGATTCCAGAGATGTTAGAGTGTGAAAAAAACATGCGTCTCACAGAAACACTTAGCAGTTTACTGCAGCGTTTCTTACATTAGGCTAGAAATGAATGTCACCTACGTGCCCATCAACTGATGAATGAAGAGAGGAATTTTGATAAATCTACACAAGAAATGTATCCAGCCCTAAAAAGGGATGAAATCCTGTTGCTTGTGACCACCTGGATGGACTGGAGGACATTATGTGAAGTGAAATAAGTCAGGCACAGAAAGACCTACACTTACATGTAGAATAAACAAGTTGATCTTACATAAATTGAGAGCAGAGGCTGAGGAGAGTAGGAGGAGGGAGGGATGGGGAAAGATTTATTAATCGGTACTAAGAGAAACAGGTTCTGATGTACAGTTTAACATACAGTAGGGTGAATATGGAAAATGTATTATATACATATATATATAAAGCTAAAGAAAATATTTTCCTGATAAATGTGGCTGATTTGTCCTCTTGACTTGAACATTAGTTAGTATATGCATGTAGCTGAACTGCACATGGTACCCTATACATACAGAGTTTTCTGTATTGTTAAAAAATATCTACAAAAAGTGTGTTTTAGCATGTGCAAATTGCGTCATTGTGGCTGGATTAATGTATCAAGGTTTTCCTTTACTAATTCCAAGATTGGGAAAGAGCTTGCCTTCAAAGAAATGTTTTTTTTTTTTTTCTTGAGTGTTCAACATCTAAAGATATAAGGAGGGTATGAATCCAACAGATGCAGTAGCCTCGGTCGCAAGTGAGAGAAACACAGGCTGGGGTTGCGGATCGCAAGAGCTAAGAAACGCACAAAGAATGGAAACTATGGATGCTGATGCGATGGGTAAGTTTTTTTTTTTTTAAGGGACAAAATCATGAGCTTATCAAATAAAGATGAAATAATAATTGTAGCAACGGCCAAAAAGCAAGGTGGCTTTCTAGGGTTGTTATGGCATAAAACACAAGCTTTGGAACAGGGGACTCTGTCCCTTTTTCGATAACAATTACTTTCCTGCGCACAGATTCTAATTATGTATTCGTAGTGTGATTGATTTAGGTTTGTGTTCCCCCATTACACATAAAATGTTTTTGTTCACCATTTGCTCTTCCTCATAGTGGGTAGTGCAGTGAATCTAATTGAATGACCGAGTGGATGCTTGTTAATATTCGTAACCCTTTCATGGGCAGCCCTGGGCTTCGAAAAACCTAACCTCCTTAAAGGGGCCTCAGTTTTCTCGCTTGTCAGAGGGGGCTAACAATGGGATGCCTCTTAAAAGAGTGTCCCCAAAACGCTGAAGCACAGCCCAGCCCAGCCCAGAGGAAGCGCTCCCTGGGCTGCAGCTTTTGTGAGACGCACCTCGCTGTCGGGTACTCACGGGGCCAGCGCGACCCACTCGTATCTTAGCCCCGTTTTCGTCTTCGCATTCGTGCGCTGCTTGAAACTGGCAAGCCATTTTTGCTGGGGCCCTCAAAAGCTAAAGCCCCGGTGTCTGGAGCTGCGCTGAGCGCCTCGTCCTGTGGGCTGCAACGGGACTTGTTTCCCAAGCTCGGGAGTGGGGCCCTGACCAGGGAGGAAGTGTCCGCTTTAAGAGCTCCTGGCGGGGAGGAAGGGGGCTCCCGCGCCGGGGCGAGTGAGTGGGTGGGCGGGCGTGCGGGGGGCGGTCCGCTCCTCCTGCGTCACAAGGGGCCCCATTTTCGCACCTTCCCTGACGTCAAACCTGCATCAGGGCTGCAACGCCACGTTGCCCGTGGATGCCTGCGTGAGCCCAGTCGTGACTCGGAGCCCGCGTCTTGCGAGACGCGCTCCCGCCTCGCTGCTTCTCACTCCCGGCATGACTGGCCGGGGGCTCGGGTTTCTGGCTCCGCGGCGCTCTGGACGGCTCGGCGGTCCAGACGCCGCCTCGGAACCGGAATAAGCAGGACGAGCACCGAGCCCGCTCTTCGGTCTCCACAGCGATCCGGAAGGAATCCGGGCAGCCTCCGCGGAGGTGAGTGCCGCGGCGGGGGCGGGCCAGGGCGGCGCGCGGCCCGGGCGACGCCCGCGGGCGGAGCCTGCTAGCCCGGCGCCTCGGGCGCCTTCTTCTTCCCGGGGGACGCGTGGACCGCTCGCCGGGCTCCTGCACCCGCTTCCCGCACCCGCTTCGCAGGTCTTCGTCTTTCCCTCACCCCGAGTCCTTTCTGCCCCTACTGTGTGAGAGGGACCGGCGTCTCCGGGCCGGATCGCGGTGGCTCGGGAGGGGAGGAGGTGGGGACCCTGGGTCGGAGGGGCCCGCGGACGAGGCCTCGGGTCGGGGCCGGGCCTGGGAGGAGGCGGCTCGTGGAGGTCGGATTTAGGGCTCTGTCCCCGCGGAGACTTGCTTGGGCACCTGTGGGGCGGGGATCGCAGCCACCTGTCTGCGCACCCCCCTTGCCCCGTGCCCTTCGTTGCGTCGTCCCCCCCACCCTACCCCGCTCCGCGACCCCAGACTTAGGCCTCGGCCGGCCGTTGGAGATTGGACTTTATCTTGGAAAGGTGCGATTTTTGTGTGCCTGATCGGTTTTGCTTCCGTCGTGCAACAGTTGTGTAATCTGGGCGGGCTTCGCCATCCTCAGGAGTGGCTCCTAAAGAGGCCCCTGGCAGCCCCACGATCACTGGACGCGAAGCTTCTCGGTGGCTCGGGGTGGAAATGCAGAACGCGGTTCTGGTTCTTAAGGACTAAAATGCGCCCCCCCACCCCATTGTCGTATCTTTGTTATTATTTTTATAGTAATTATATACTACGGGGCTGGGAGGGGAGGAACGCAGGAAGCCGTAGCCATCTCACCCTCAAGCGGGAATCCACGGGCAGTCTGAGGTGTATCTGCCGCTGCTTCTCTCTAGTGAGTCCACAAACATGTATACGTGGGATGCCTAGGTAGGGTATTGCTTTTCTGCTTTTTTCGCTTCGCACGTCGAGGAGTTTTTCTGTATCATTTGAGGCTGGGCAGAAACTCGTTGCAGGTTTGATAACCTATCGCTTCAGTGGTCAGTGTGCATTGGCTAGAAAAAAAGCTGAATTCAGGGTAACAAGCGGTTGCTACTAACTGTTGTTTGCTCTGCTTAATCATCTGCACTGTTTGTTCAGACTGCAGTTTGCCACCCATTAGTGAATTGTGAGATTAATTTAGTAAATCATAACTAGCGTTTTCTTAAAAAAAAAAATGAAATTAGATAGCAGAGAAAATACCAGAACGCATTATTGCATGTAGTGAGGGTATTGTTTCGTGGAATTTTGTTTTAAGTGCACATGGGTGCCTGTGTGTGTGTGCTGGAGTGTAATATACAAGGCATTGTTTCCTGCGTTTTCCGCTAAATAAATTTGAAGTCACTAATTCAAGGTACTGTCAGCATTCCGAAAAAGGAGCATTGATTCAATCAAATTAAATATCAGTTTTACTTTTTTCCTTTGGAATAGTGACATTGTTTATTGCAGCAAATGAGGTTCCTAATTGTTTGTTTTCACCTAATAGGAAAACAATCGACTGACATTTCTAAACATAAAGTGAGAAGATGTTTTATGGAAATGGAGGAGTTCAGATTGCCTTTGGGTCAAATGCTAGCTAGCTATATACCTCCGTTTCCTAATTTGTGAAATGGAAATTATTATGGCATCCGCGGTATCGGGCTGCCTGTTATTTAGATGATGCCTATGAAGCTGTTGACAGGGTGCCTGGGTCAGATTAAATACTAAATATTAGCTGTTACTATTTTATTGAGACTGAAGAAAAGTGTCACAGATAGCGCTGCTCATCAGAGGAAAGACAGCACAGTGTGAATTAAAAGGAAAAAAAAAAAAAACCCAGAAAGTTAAAAATTAGCTAACAGGTGTTACACGATGGAACTTACACTGATTTATGAGGGTTTTGTTTTTATATCATTTGGCTATTGTTTTGCGATTGCTTTCCAATTGTTTTCCTACTTTATTTGGACAGATAATTTAGATTGTCTTATTCAAAAAACCAGATACCCTTCTATTGCTTTATTTTCTATTAACTTGACGTCTCTTTTGTCAGGCAATTGAAAAATATTTCCCCCGAGGATTCTAGATTTTGTTAGATCTTATTATAATGCCATAGTCGGCTTGAGAAACACGCACTACAACTACAAAATCAATTCAACAATAATTTTATTAGTGTTTATCTTTGCGCCTGCCACAGGTCTCAGATGGGGAAGAAATATTCCTTACCAAAAACCCAAAACACAAAATACAACTTCATTTCAATTTTGAGACAGTTATGTTAAAGTCATCTTGGGCAGTTCGGAGATCTCTGTTTACTGCCTCAGATGAGTTTATGCCGTACTGAATGCTACATTAAGCCAGTGAAATTAGAGGGTAAACACTGACATTTTAAAAACAGTATTGTTATTTTTATGAAAAATAAATGGGGTGTCTTAGACTCAGAAAAAAGGCTTTTGTTACAAAAGTGCTTAACTGGGTGTGACGACTATAAAAGGTTGCGCAGAAAATCTTAACATGAATTATAATTCTGTTCTCAGATTTGAAAATGCCTTCAGATTTTTCATCTGCTTCAGGTGAATGAAAATAGAGACTCATTTGAGGGTTTATCGTGACTTGGTTTATGAAAAAAACGACTTTGAGCTCTCCTAGCCTGTCCACCAAAAAGCCGCAAACAAACAAAATAAAAAACCCAAATGAGACAAAAAAAAAACCCAACTTGACTTTATATCAAACAAATATATATTTATTTTTAAGTTAAATAAAATATTAAGGTTGATTGTATATATATTTTTAAAATCACCTCATTGATTGAAAAGTTAACTCACGGGTGACAGGTTCTTGTCAGATCAGACTGCTTTAATCTTACACTGATAAAATGAAATATGATACAATCACTAAATATTCTATATTAGAATTATGTGAATATATAATGGCATATCAAGGTGCTCATCATATATGGTTGGTGAGAGGTTGTTTATAAAATGGAATACACAGGACCAACCTTTTTTTTTTTTTGTAAAAATGTGTTTAGAACAAATAATAATACAAGTGCTAATGGTGGATGGTGGGATTATGGCTGATTTTACTTCTCTTTATTTTTAAATTTTTGTAACTCTGAGTATGTTTTGCTTTTGTAATAAAAATAAAGATTTTTTTTTAAAAGAAAATTTAGATGTGTGTTTCTTTCTAATTTTCAAGCGTAATTGAGACCATGCTTTAGGATACTGATTCTTTGAACCTGAATATTTGGGAATGAACTGATTCCCCAGTATTCTAGGAAATGGTGCTGAATAGTTTAACAGTGATATTCCTTACCCATGGACGGTAAGGAATTTTTGAGTAGGAGACAAGCCTTATTCCAGAATTTTCCTAAAGTAATCTTTGAGTATCTCTCTGTCCAAAATAATTTTACCTGAAAATACTCTCTAAATTTTTTAGTGTGCTTTTGAATCCTTTGGTGTCTAAACTCTGTCTGCCTTTCTTGTTTTTTTGCCCCTTAAATTCTCAAATTAAATCTTAGATTCATCTGAACTCGTTAGCTTATTATCTCCAAATGGCCTTGTGCTTTCTTGCTTTTGTGCTTTTTGCTTACTTGTTGCTTGGAATCTTTTTCTGACTTTCATATAAGCAAATCCTATGCATTGTCCAATATATGGTTAAAAAACTGTATCTGCTGCGACAGCCGTGGCCACGCCAGCAACACGCGAACTTTGCAGTTGAACCCATTTGCACTTATTTTTGGTCAGGCATTTCTCAGACGCCACTCTGTGCTTGTGCATTCATTCCCCAATTCCATTTTAAACTTCCTAAGGGCAAGAAAGCTTGTTTTATATTTGTGTCTGTGTCTCAAGTCTTCTAGTGTAGAATTGTGCATAGGATAGGTGCTTAATAGTTTATTCTTCAATGATACAGTGGTGTCACTGGCACTTTTTTCTCCTTCCTTCCTTCCTTCCTTCCTTCCTTCCTTCCTTCCTTCCTTCCTTCCTTCCTTCCTCCCTCTCCCTCCCTCCCTCTCTCTCTCTCTCTCTCTCTTTCTTTCTTTCTTTCTTTCTTTCTTTCTTTCTTTCTTTCTTTCTTTCTTTCTTTCTTTCTTTCTTTCTTTCTTTCACAGGCACAGTGGACAGTGAGAGAGAGAGACAGAGAGAAAGGTCTTCCTTTTCCATTGGTTTACCCCCCAATGGCCGCTGCGGCCGGCGCGCTGTGGCCAGCGCACCACGCTGATCCGAAGGCAGGAGCCAGGTGCTTCTCCTGGTCTCCCACGCGGGTGCAGGGGCCCAAGCACTTGGGCCATCCTCCACTGCACTCCCGGGCCACAGCAGGGAGCTGGACTGGAAGAGAGGCAACCAAGACAGAATCTGGTGCCCCAACCGGGGCTAGAACCCGGGGTGCCGGCGTTGCAGGCGGAGGATTAGCCTTTTAAACGACGGCACCGGCTGTCACTGGCACTTTTGAGACTAAATGGTGCAAACATTTTTAACCAGTGATCCTGGGTAAGGGTCAACAGTGCAGAGGAATAAAAACGTGTTAGTTCCGTGTAATTGTTCATTGGTATAGATAAATGCTAAAGAATTGACATTGTTTTCCATTGAAACTAACGTTGTAGCTGAGAATTGATTGGTTAGTTTAGGACCCAAACATGTATTGCTTGTGAAAATGTCTCATGAAACTCAT